ATTCATCAGTTTTTGCCCGAGATGAGACGTAGGGTTGAGCTCGAGGACCTACGAATATCATTACAAATGTTAAAACAACGACGGATATCGTCCGCACCTTTTCCGCGTCCGAAAGGGCCTCTGCATAGAGGTTTTGGCCCAACTTCACCTTGCTGCGGTGCACAAGATATAAATAGTATGAGGAATCCGTCTCGGGTGTTGCGGCAAGTACGTTCTCGATGGACCAGAGCTGAAGATTCCCATCACAGTCTCCAATCATGAGCAGTTCTCCATTGGGAGAGATTACAACAGAGGAAATACGTGTGGTATGTTCGAGTCGCTGTCCTATCTGCTTGTGTGACTCAGTGCTCCACAGGCGCACAGTCTTATCGAACAAGACGGTTGCAATGAAGGAGGCATCAGAAGAAATGGCAAGTGAGTTGATTTCGTCAGTGTGACCGGTGCAAGGTTGATCAATCTTGGTCCCATTTGACGAGTCCCAAAACTTGATTGTTCGGTCTTGTGATGCAGAGACGAGTTGCTTGCCGTTGGGCGTCCATACAACACTTTTAACCCAACATTGGTGAGCGAAATTGATGTCGAACAGAAGCTCAGCGACGTTCTCCGAGTCAGTGCTCCAAACCTAAACGGTACAATAGCTACCAGACGCCAATTGTAGCCCATTCGGGCTGAAGGCGACGCAACACACCGAACCCCCAGCACTCTGGAGTGTTGAGAGGACAGCGCCAGACTTCGCATCCCATATAATAACTTTTTTATCCAGTGACCCGCTTGCGAGTCTCTTTCCATCGGGGGAGAAACACACCGACGAAACCAGGTTATCATGCTTCTTCCGTTCGAATAGCATCTGCTTCCTATCAACATCCCAGATGATGATGGCTCCAGTTTCTCCACCACTCACAGATTGCCTATCGTCTGGCGACACAGCGACTGAATACACACGGTCGCTGTGTCCCTCGAATAGACCTCCCACCGATGCCATTGACTGCACGTCCCAGATTCGCAGGGTTTTATCCCTTGAAGGAGTGACGATCCGTCGACCGTCTTTGAAGAACGCGATTGCCAATACTTTCTCCGTGTGCACTCGCATAGTTTGTATTGGCGCCGGCTGGGTTGTCTGCGCCGGCGTTGCGCGCCCTTTTACAATGCGAAATGCTTTCTTTGCTCCATCAAGCAATCCTAACATATCTCTAAACAGGGAGACAGACGGTCAGTAGCATTCGAAGTTGACAAGGAACGTACTCTGGACCTCACCGGCGTAGTCGTCGATCCTATGTGTCGTGAGTAGAGTTGGATTTCTGCACATTTATAACCCAATTCATGTAGGCGCTTGTCCGTTCTGGCTTCATGCTTACCACGCTGCCACTACGCATCACTGATCATCACATCCTGCCCCTCTTCAATTGCCGATCATATATTAATTCCTTCATTCTGTTCGCAACACATCCCTGACTATACCCTGTATTCTCCCCGAAGGGTTATACCCCGAAGTTTCAGTTTCCATCAAGTGGTACCACCTCTCTTTCTGGTAGACTGCTCAAAGGGCTCTGCCAGTCGCAATCAAGACAACGAACTCATTACAGGCACATCTCACGATGGACATCCGGAATTACACGGGCAGTCGAAAATGCTGAGCATGAGAGCGATACGTCAGGCTATTATTGTTCGAGTATCGCAACCTCTCAAAAGTTGCCTTCATAAACACAATTGCATACTTTTCTTTTCCAATCAATGATCTTTCTTTCACTGGTTCCGGCGCTGCAGCACTGACAATTCGGTATGGGCTGTTATACACAGCGGTCGTGAATGCTAAAGTTGTCATAGATATGAATCTGATACTATCTATCTGACCTGGAGGTCAGGCCTCAGGGCTCCTGATTGTCGACGTCATACTACCTATCAGCTCTGGAGTAAATTTGCAAGAGACAGAAGAGTAATGGTACGGTCACATTTTTTTGACCTGGACAGTTTCATGCTACAGTCATTCTAATACACGGTCATCGGGACACTGTCGTTGAGCTTTGAACGCCCTGGAGTAATAAGGTAACACAAGACCATTGTTCTCTTTCGCTAAGGTACTGTCACTTACATAATCGACAAGGTTTACGACTCTACGAGACCGATATCTGGGACATTTACATAACCTTCGCCAGAATTCCCATGACTTGTAAAAAATAAAACAAGGCCAATTACATATATAATGAGAAGATAAAACCGACATACCCCACCTTCGCAATCTCATCATTAAGATTCTTAACACACCACTTCCCATCAATCGACTCAAGTTTAACCACTATGATATTCAGCGCCTTGCTCTGTTGCTTGTTCCTCACACCCGCTGCCCTTCTTGAAGTCGTGAGTCGACCAAGTCCCAATACCAAATGAAACTGCACGGGCAATTAGACCACCGTGACGAGCAACCAAGCAACCAAAAATAACGTGATGACGTACTAGTAGGGCTTCCCATTGGTTGGCGCGTCTATTGTCGAATTCCTATAAACATAAGAAACAAAGATATCGATAAGAGCCGCTTAGAATCGACGTACGCACCCGACAAAACACTTCAGTGACTGAAAGACTGTCTCCATATAGAGGTTTGACCAGAGATCTAGAGCTCTTCGCGCTTACCAACCAACTCGCCGCAAGATATTTGGCTTTGAAGGAGGAAGTTCCTGCAAAACTTGAAGCACAGTGAACTCTTTACTGGGCTTGAAGCTTGAAGCTTAAGGACCGCTTCGTTGGTGCACCCCGTTACTGTCGTATCCATCATGATATCGCAGTTGAGGTGGCTGAGGTACTCTTCACCCACAGAAACCAAGCAGCACAAACTGTTTACACTTGAATCGTACGTTCCTACGGACGCGCGCTGGCGCATACATTAGTTTATTTTTCTGCCAATGTGCTGTTACTCCAGATGTATTTGGGCGTTGAACCAAGGAATTGAATAATGACTTGAAACTTCGGAAGCTTGAATCGTTGTTCTGTCGATTGCGAATATATGCTACGGAGTACGAAAACCCTTTGTTTCCGAGCCACTGCTTCCTCTGGTCAAACTATCATAATTTTTACATCTTGCGAAGTTGCTCACTGTCGAACAAGTCTGCAGCGTACAACATTTTAAAATGGCCCAACAGTGAATTTTCCAAGGCAGCCTACAGATTCCTCCTAGTAGAAAGTCCAGCATCGGCAAGTTGCCATCCCCAGCGCTCTCTTCTCGCTCAGCGTCCAATTGTCTTCCGGCACAAGGCAGCAATGTACTATCCGTTCATTGAAAGTTTTGCGCAGTGCGCACAATAGTCGATATTCCATTCACATTCGTTATCCAAGCTGCGTTCGCGGTTATTCTATACCTGGTCGACTTTCAGAGAACGGTATCTCCGAGTCAGTTCTCGTGAATCTTGCCTTAAATCCAGTCGTCGTGTCTTGCTGAGTCCAGATACAGGGCATTCTTCCTATTCATCTTCGCTATGACTACTATCACTATGAAGATATCTTTAGAATGGTCGCCGCGTGCTTTAAGACCGAATCCACATATCCCTCACAGGCCACGGCTTGGCTACTTATTACAGGCGAGGTTATAAGTTTGGTTTAGGTTTTCAGGATCAGGTTGAACTTTTCCTGAGCTCAATTCACTTTCTTTCTGACTTTCGACGCCTAGTTTCCACACCCAGAGATTTCCCTCAGAGACCTTCATCTACTGACCTCCGCAAGTGATCAAAGTCAGATCATCATAAAGTTCACACACTGCGATGATACCATCGCCGCCCTATCGTCGAATGGGAAAGTATTTACGTTTACTTTACAATCTATGGGAGGTGTTCCCCTACTTTCAAGCCCCAACGCACATGGGCGCTGAGACGTTGGTTCAGTACTGTGCAGGTGGGTGGGCTCAAAAATAAGATGACATACTGTCTGACGTCTTGTAAGATGTCGATGTCGGAGTGGATGGAACTATCATAGTTTACACTCAGACCGGTCATGTCCACGTCCGCTCTCGGTCTGCGCAAATGGCCTGGGGCGTTTGAGGCTCTGGCAGTGACAACTCAGTTAGGTGTCGCATCGGGAAATGATGTGTGACACATTTCGTGGATGGGGGTTGGGATCTCTCCACTTCCTATCTGATTTCAAGGTGTTGACGACTGCATCGCGAAGTTTATTGCTTGAGAGCGAAGCCACGACGGAGATCCAATGTCAAAGGAGATGACTGATCTGTGTCAAAAATATAATGTCCTCGGCAGGCAGACATAAGAAAATCACATCCAGTCGTCCTGATGTAGGTCAGTTGTCAGGTGCCCGTGATAAGGTGCTTGAAGTTTCTGCCTTGCAGCCGTGCTGTGATCTTGCAGACGATGAGAACGCTAATATGAAAGTTCGCGTACAGGTACAAATACAGTTTGTGACCAGCCGCTTTACACCACGATGACATGATGTTCAAACGATCAACGCGGCTGCCAACTCGTTCAGCCAGAGATCGCTTGTTGGATAAGACCGGCGTGAGTTTCTGCAGCTTCCATTACACATCTCACACGACTCAGTTTAAAGACCGACGACTTCTTGTCCGCCTGCAAGCGTGCAGATGCTGCGCCGTCGATTGATGCATTCTACAAGCCCGTTGAAGCAGTTCTATTCATAGTTGCTACGTCCGCCGATTCAAATCAGCGAAACACTTTCACGAGCGACCTTTACACAACAGCCTGTAGACCTCCATCATAGTCAGATTCAAGTCAAATTGTGCTGCGCTATCAATATATACACTAGTTCAACGCAGAGGATGACACATGAAGCCTTCAAACACGGACCTTGCATCCCAACGTGCCAACACCACTAGCCGCTGAAGGCTTAGCGCTTAACCTTCTGAACCTTCGTCACATGAACGCATGCGTTAAATTAAGGCAAGCATCGCGTTAGATATTTATATCCTGACTGCCGTCACGTTGGTTGGGGGTGGTAAGTGCGGATCGGCTTATAAAGTTTGTGATGCAGCGAGTAACTGGGAGTTCAGGGTATGTGTGATGCACAGCGTCGACAAAGCACAGACCTGTTGACTTAACGCGGACTGATCGACTCGACACGGACTAGTTGAATTGATACAGATAGCATGAAATGATGGAGGATGAACCGCATGAAGCAGAAGAAGAAAAAACACAAAAAAATGAAACAAAAAAGAGCACGAGGTCAACAGTTGCAGATAGCGAGACGAGCATGGGACGAAAACATATGATTGGGGTGTGGGGTAATCCGATTGGATGGTTTGCATTAGGTGATAGAAAGAAATTCGACTGGACGATGATCAATATCGAAGGTCACCGGAGATCTAAGACGAGAAACAGCAAGACAGCAGAGTCCGGGGAGCGAGGACGGCGATCAAGGAAGCGCAAGACATATGAACGCGCAGAAATATTACATTCATCTTCTCGCCGTGTAGAGCCTTCACGAATTTTTTGGAGTCATTTCGGCCTTCATGTGCTTACTCCCCAACTTCCATGTCTTCCTCCTTCATGCCAGTCGAAGACGCACTGCGGTGGTCAGCAGCGGCATCGGCTGCTTCTCTCAACTCCGCGTCTACATCCGCATCGCCTTCGCCGTCTGCGTCTGGATCTGTGTTGGGGTCGGAGTGCGGAGAAGGAAGATGTTGCGCTGAGAGGTGTGTGTCAACTAGGGGGTGATAGAATGGAGGACGTTTCACCCACCAGAGGACACCGCACCCCGTCGTCTTCGTCCAGGGTCTTCGTCGTCTGTGGTCTGTAGAGTAGCAATCGCGGGTGGGGAGGGAGGGTCACGGTTCCGATCTCTCTCACGGTCCTTTGCAGACCCACTAGTGCGTTTCTTATCCTGTAAAAGCACAGGCGGCACGAAAGACGCTGAGCTTGGAAAGACTTGCGACTGCGACTGTGTTTGTCTCTGTGTCCCGGCAATCGCACTGACAGGAATGGTATCCGTACGGTGCAATCGAGCTGCACTGGCGTTGTTACTGCCACCCACATTTGCGTCGGTTGTTCCCCGCCGTTCTACACGCTTCATTTTTTTTCTACAGCGATCGCACACCGTACCAGGCCCTTCTGGCCCAGGGCCCCATTTTTCGACGCACTTGTTGTCTTTGTAGCGCCCTGGTAAGCCGCATTGGCGGCAGATGCGCTGGCCGATAGCGTTAGTGGGGGGGAACGAGGTGGTGGGGGGAATGGCAGGCGGAGGAACTGGTGCGATGGGAGTGACGAGGGCGTTAGGAGGTGTTAGTGGGGAGCCATTATGAGCTGGCGCTACGTCATCAACTCGAGATCCGTTTATTAAAAAGGGACGCACTGATATTTGCGCTTGACCCTGGTTTGCCTTTCTTTTGGGGAGCGCCAGTAACGGGAGGGGCAAAAATATGAGTTTGATAGGTCCTGAGCTCCCCGGGCTGATCTAATGGACCTACGGGGATACCCCTTGACTGGTGGGCAGCCAAAACGGCACGAGGAGATTGTGGCTGTTGTTCACGAGCATTCAGAACGCTCCTTTCATCAGTGGCAGCGTCAAGGAGGAGATCCTCGATGTCCTGCGAAGTAGCACGGACACTAGAGTGGCTGCTGGAGCGGGAGTGAGATTTAAGAGTAGGCTGAATGGTAAGATGGTGGTTGAGGTGTTGAATCTGGGGAAGCTGTTGGGTGTGGGGATCGATGTCAGGGATACGTCCGCGTGACATGGAGCTAGCCTGGGGAATGTGAGGAGATAGAAAGGTGGTATGAGAAGAAACTTACGGAGAGGGGGGGCCTGTGGTCATATTCACCACGTTCGTTACGTAGTCGTTTGGAAGGAGGCTGGGGTAGTGCAATGAGATAGGAAGGGTCATCGAAGCTGCCTGAGCGAGGACGGACGCCACGAGTAGATGGTGGTGGAGGGAGCGGGCCTGGAGGGAGTGCAGAAGAACTAAGTGACGAGGAGGTGTAGCGATGATGAGATCGAGGGTATGAACGGGGTGGGGGCTCTACAGTGATGCTGGGATTGGCAGAGTAAGGGCTGTGGTCATGCTGAATTTGATTTGGGATTGGGGTCAAGACAAGATGACCGCCTGCATCTCTAAGGATGCGCTGAAAACCAGCACGTGCGTCTGCAGCACGAGATTCGATGGCGGCGAGGTATTTATTGAGTTCTTCGTAAGATTCGAAAACAACTCGTCTGCGTGCTTCTGCCTCGTCTCTCTGTCTATCAGCATGGGCTACACGTGCCTCAGCTTCTTCGATGACACGACGAGCCTCGCCTGAGAGGGGAGCACCATTAACGGTTGCAGCTTGAAATTCTGCTAGCAGACGTTCTGCTTTTTCTAGCCGTTTCTTTGTGTTGCCAAGTTCTTTTGTGAGTCTGTCATTGTCGCAATAACTGTTATGTAGTAGATGTGCGAGCTGAGCATTGGAATGATTATTTATTATTCCATTTGGTGAAGGTAGAGGAGGAGAAGTCATGGGAGGTTCTGAAGACATGGTATCGCGTTAGTGGGGGAAGGGGAGGTCCATGATGGGTTTCATTATTATTGGAATGTGGGTTGATAAGAGGTGTTTCCCTGTCGGTGAACACGCCTTCCCTGTCACACATTTGTTAAGTCACTTGTCACCCTTTCCCCGGTGGCAGTCTCGGCCGGGTTAATCTTGCGTATAGCATCATGCCCCGCTCAACTCCCAGAACAAACGTTGCCGACGCACATCATTTCTTAATTAAGTAGAACCCATTTCCCTAATTCGGTCCTAACGCCATGGACCCCAGTCACTCATTTCATCCCGCCCGCCTCCTTGAAGGTTCGGGGTCTTGCCTCGTGTCGGCGCTCATGAAACCTCCTTCCACCACCGCGGCCCCCATAACCTATCTTTCCCCCCCCGTATCTCCAATATAATATAATATTTTATTTCCCCTCCCGCGCTCTTCGGTATAACATCCCGCCTCGTGTTGCGGATACTCCCGATTATTCCCGCCCTAACCTGTCGGTCTCTCATTCCCTTCGGCCAAGCTAACTCCTCTCCTCGGCAGTAACAACACGAGGCAAACACGAGGCCCCGCACCGCCCATCCCGCTTCCACGTCTGTTCTATGTTTACACCCGCCCTTGATGTCCGGTCCGTATCTTCCAAATTGTATTCCGCCCGTCTCACCCACCAAGAAGAGAACCACACCGCACCCCTACAGCATGCCCAATGTATTCGAGAACTCCTTCCGCTTCATCAACTTAAACTTTGTTTTTCACCTCCCTGTGCTGTTTTCGCTTTCTGCCTCGTTTTTCTTTTCATCTTTCTTCCCAATTCGTCTAATCGTGCCTGACAATATCCTTTTCAAATACTCATTCGTCCTCTCGTCTCCAGCGTTACCTCCGTCACTACCCTCAGCGGTCCGTTCATGTCCATACCAGTGTATTCACCACATGCTCATCCTCATTTGAGTTCATTAGGCCTCGATTTCTACTGTTCATTGACATCATTCATATCCAGACTTGTATCCGGCATCTTCTAACCGGCATTGACCGGCACAGCATAATGCTTCCCTAATTGGCCCATATCCTCCAGACGCCAGGAACCACAATGTCCAATCTCATTTTTTCGTAGCTCGTGTCCTCCTCGAGGTTCCATGAACTACCTACGTTCTCCACCAAATTCCCGACGTCCTTTAACCAGAATGCCGTTCTTGATTTATCGGCGGCTGTGCAATTATACTGGTAACTGCCACAAGTGATCCTGCGTAACGCAAGTAATTTTTGAAAATCCGTAATACACTGGCTTCGATTCTCACTAACCTGCGCTCGTCGGCGATAATATCTCCATCTTATGTTTTTACTCGAGGTATTCTATGGGGAACGCCATCCTCAAACCTCGGGTGTTCATCGATCATCCCCGACACGTTTAGTCAGTTACGCTGCCATCGAGAATGGTTAGCCTCAAATAAATCTCACAGCTCTGGCAGCTTGTACGGCTCCGGAAAGTTACCTTGCACTGAAACATGCCGGCGACGTTGCGTTCTTGAAGCTCTCCGTGGTCTACGCCGTTCACAATAAGCAATAGAATTACGATAGCTTGCCCTTCGATGCGGGTCCCGTTCAAAATGTGAGATGCCGTACGTGCTATGTATTCACAGCTACACCCAATGTGTAGAAGTCTAGCGGCGGCCGTACGCAGCGGACAAACTCAGCGAGTTGCATTGTTTCCTGCGGTGCACGGGCTTTTGGACCAATTCGCCTCGATATTTTGCTTCTAATTATTTGCCGCTGCACTTGCATTTTCTAGTGAACGTTCAAACACAAGTCTAGTGCATAGGGAGCTAAGTAGCGGCGTTCGCAAGTAGCAGAAAATCTAGAGTCGTGATGTTTATCGCCATAATGCACAGGGATCTGGATCACCAATTCATCTCGGTTCTCTGCTTTTCCACTGCACTCGCAGCTTCTACCGCCATTCTACGTAGTGGCAGGGCATACTGAGAGCTAGCGGCTTGAAGTGGCTGCATTTTCAAGCTACCAGCTCTATAGGCCAAATGGCTGACAAATTCTACGCCACTCAAAAATACGACGATCCTCAAGTTTTTAGATACCAATCTTTGGTGCGCGTGCTGCATGCGAACGGTAGAATTTTGCTGACAGCTAGATTTACTTGATGTGACCATTGTCCCAATTTTCATGCGAATACTCCTGACGAACCCCATCGGGACCGCGGTTATGAACGCCATACACCACCTGATGAATACCAACACGCACAGTTCCGACCGGTATCCAATCTCTTGCCTATGATTTTCCTAATTTTGATAACATCGATGTCTTTGCCGATCTCTTGACGCCTCACCTCCCATGAAGATGCTCCATATTGATCACGACGTGAGCACATGTCAATCTAACTTAAACAAGCGCGTCTCAGCTGACTTGAATTATTCTGGATTCAGCGGGATCCAGTGCACCCCGAACGAAAAGCCATTCTAATGCACGCACCGCATGCTCTACCAAGCCTAGACATCGTCGCTACTTTTCTGATTTTTGCTATCAAGTGCCTCTCAAAATCCTGATGTTTATTCAAGCCAGGTAATTACGAGATTTTTTATAGTTTCATGTCCCTGGTTTGGGACCTGTGCAGTTGCCTTGGGGTCACGCGCAAGTAGCAGCCAAGATCGTCTCAATGTATTACCCCCCACGCCAATTCTTTTTCGTGCGGGCTTTTCTTGATAGACCTCGATATGACACGCGCCCCGCTCCAACGAATTTCCAAGGGGCGTAGGGTTTTAGACGCGTTCGTTATTGGCTCGATGTTTTGATCTCGTTTAGGCTTTTTGTGAGGAATAATTAATTCAGATGACGTCGAAATAGCGTTGAATACATTCCTCTATTATGTGTACGTACATTACACTCACCCTTCAGCGCTGTCAGCCCCAAATACACCACGTCTAAAAAACGACAATCTTAGCCGCGAACATCTTCGCCCAGTATGGCACGGCACATGACCCCTGAGCTCGATCGAGGATTACAGAGCTCTACTAAATCCATCTACTTGCCCCCACCCGCATTTGCTGTGTCTTCTATCTATATACAGCATCCACTTATCCAAGCTATGCGACAACACCGCAGGCTCGCCTTCTTCGTTCCTGTAGCAAACCCATTTCCCCTCACCTTGGCAAACCCTACGCAGTCATGCACATCAATATGAACGCTGCATCGCCGCATGCGCATTGCACGAAAGTAATATAACGCAACGACAACACTTTCCCACTTTTGGCGCGCCGTGGAGCCTAATCCATATGCAATCACTCAAAGCCTCCATCTAAACTCACGCTCCCATCACTGCTAATGACATAAATGAATTCATATTTCAGATGCCGCATGGATCACGTTTCATCCCGCGACTTCTCATAACTCAACGCTCAGAATGGTTCATGACTTGTTCGGGAAGGCTTCGTTATCATCGCGCGTTTTGTTTTGGTCTTAGATTTTTCGAATCCCATAAGTATTCCGACATGCCAACGTACACGCGAGTTTTGTTTCTGGTCTGGGGGTCCCGAACGTGACGTCGTTTGCCTCGTGTTCGGCGCATGTACGCGAACTGGGCCGTGGCCCGTGGTGATGGGCGCTCGTACGTTCGATAGCGGTGTTACTTCCCACCGCTCGTTTGCTTCTATGTTATCTGATCGGCTGTTGCTGCGTGCGTTGGTGGTGGGCGATTCGCGGTCGGATCCTGGAAGTAGCTCTGGCGCTGATGGCATGGTAGCCTGGACGATTCCATCACGCTGGCGGGAAGGAGATACGTTTGAAGAAATAGTATTCAAAGTTTCATCAAGTGTCCTACGAACTTTCTATGGATTTATTTCAAGTTCACGATGTTCACTTGTCTCACCCCAGATCAAAATAAATGAAGAACACTTCCGAAGAAATCGAATCGACGAGTAATACAGCTCTCATCAAGTGACCTCCGGATGTCCAAGAACCCGTCTCCCGATGGTTTTTCTAACACGATCTGACTGAATGAAGAAGCTCGGCTAAAGACCAGTTCTGCCCGATCAAGATGTATGTATTCGTCCCTAACTTTATCGCGTCAACGTCTCGAGGCTAACGGGACGCCATCCGTTAGTTTTTGTGGCAAACTATAGTGGAATGGGAAAGGGGCCGGCTGGATGGCTGGAATCTGGATGGTAGTCCTCGGCGGGGATGCGTGCGGTGTGCCGTGTCCCGCCCTAACATCATCGTATTCGCTGGCATCTTGTCACTCGCTTTCCCAGAGATCATTTCTGGATATCTCAGCTGCCATGCATGCGACACATCCCCCTGTCAAAACAAAAAGGGCTCTAGTAGCCGCAACCCGTGCCAAGTGACAGAGATTCATGATGGCAGCACTAACGATGAGCCATCTTGAGACATCGACCCCGCCTTCGCCTTCCTTACCAGGGAAACCCTAATAGGTCGTTTCATTTATTAAAATTTCCTTTTGGTTCTTTGGTTCTTGCTAACTTACTAATTGTTGTCCTCGATGGGGCGTTTTTGCGCCTTTGTTCTTGTTCTCGTGATTCACAGCTCGGCCGCTGAATGTCCGCCGGTTGGATGTACGACCATTTTGGGCCGACGCAGTACGTTCATAGGCGGTCAAGTACGGGATGGCGTAATTACGAGGCGGGTATTTCTTGTTTTGTTGACAACATTGTGCTCGGTTCGGTTGCTTGATTGTTCTGCGGTCGTTGAATTTCTTAGTCCCAGGTCAAGGGCGCGGTGATTGATTTTTGTGTTAGACCATTTTTTGGTCACAGGTTCCCTAGTTCTCAGACGATAGTCAATGATCAGAAGATCTGCAGATACCAATTTCTGTTCTTTGTTCATCCGACCCTTTGATGAAATCATGATTTGGCAAGTCATGTATTTCTGAACACAGTAACGCAACAGCTAAAAAAATTATCGAATGCAGATTGATTCCAAAGCAAAGTATCAAGCTCCAACACGCCAATGATTATCAAAAGATTTACGGTTAGATACCCGTCCGCTCTTTGTCATCCCTCGATTATCATATCATGATTCACACAGCGAGCCACGCACCGCTGAACAAAGTAAACAGCGAGAAATCGTTTCAATGCTGTTTTATGCCAATATATATGGCGCAGCTAAACCCGCCCAATAATAAAGCCCCCGGCCTCCCGCGATAGGCTTGCGTGATAACTGCGGTCCTGAGCGCTCCACTCCACCCGTCTCGCATGCCGTGCATGTTCTGGATCTTACACACACGCTGGGATAAATCTGCGTCAACGAACCTCGTGTTTTGCGCGTGTTTCGTAAGATCGTACGCCACGTCCCAGGACTACCTCGTGCCTTCCACCACCCAGGCCCTGAAACAGCGTCGTTCACCCCTTTCTTTGCCAAGGACTCCTAATACAGAGCTCGCGGGAAACCTGGGTCCTAAATTGAGATGGCCAATGAGATAGCGCCGACGAAACGTTAACAGGCAGGCGATCTTCCAGCGAACAGCGCAGTACTGCCAGTGTGCACCGTCTTCTGAGTCACTCACGGTTGGAATAGGGGGGAGCTGGAGATCAGTTGACCAATCGCTCGTTCATTCACAAATTAATGACAGTTTCTTGATTAATTGGGACGTCATAGATTTTCATTTATTTCTTATCTGCTGACTTTGTAATTGAAAATCGTTCTCGCTTGTCTATATCCTCGGCGCACCAGTCTTGTTGACAAGTCCATGTGCCAAGTCCCTGAACAACCCTAAGTTCGTCGGGCAAAGCTGCTCGTCACACAAGGCTTTGGCAGCGGCGTAGGATCTGTTAGCAACAGCTTGACAGTGTCGGCCTTGCCAGCGCGGCGTGTCAATGTCAGTATTCGGTCAGGTACGACATCGCTGCCATAGCGGAAGAAATTCGTTACGGCTGTATTGGGTTCTACTTTCGCTTGTTATCATCCCTTATCAACCATGTTCACGTTCGGGAGACTACGCGAATGTACAATAAGTACCTATGACCTGTACACTAGATTAAGCAAATTATACAGCAATAAATCGACTCATCTCTATCACGCCATCTCTCATTCAATCGCTAATAAAATCGGTCGGACCCCAAAATTCATCAGGCTCAAGTTGCTCCATCAACTCGTCCACCAGGATGAGCAGATAAGGAATGTCGACATCTTTAACGACGCCGACGCCATCAGGATACCAAACCTTCCTCTCCTCATAGGCCCACTTCCATCGCTGCAGATAAACTCTAATCAGAGCTGAAATCGACCACGTGGTGATAGGAACGACCCACCAGATACCGGATCAGTTCCTTGTCCTCAGGCATGACTTGTTTCCACTCCTCGCTCATGCAAAATATTCGGTACGAATCTAGGGCGTACCGGCCCACGCCTGGATAGTGTGAAACGGGTGTTGGCGGATATGGTATAGTTGTTTTACGGGCCCTTTTAAGGGATCCATGGTTTTCGCGTTTCCTTGGATTCACATAAGTTGGTACGGTGATTTTTAATCTTGCATGGATTTCTAAGCGACATTTGGATGGACGAAGCACGTCAGTGGGAGGATCATCTATATATCGTTGGGAAATCTCCTTCAGCCAAGCTGCCCGCTTATTGTAGAGGCCGAGCGGTCGCAGAATATTCACGAGCTCGTCATTGTCAGCTAGTTACGAGATGATCATCAGCGTTCGTAGTAGGGTCGAGAAGTTGGAGCCCACCCTTGATCATATCCCGAGGGATTGGCCAGCGGTCCATGAGCTTCCAAAAGACTGGGATAGCATATCGACCAGTAGTCACATTCAGTAGTTTCACGGCGATCAAGAGCTGCCAGGGATTATCTGAAACAGCAGCTGAAACGACAAGTTGGAAAGATTAGAAATGCTATTAAGACACGTAGGAGAAGAAGTACCCTGTATCAAGATTGGCTTTGCGTTCGCGACATATCCGATAAGATCGTTGAACAAGTCTTGACGGTATGTCGGAAACGCGGACATATTCTTGTGTGTGAAGAGGTCCTCCGACGGAAAAAAAGAAGGCACCCATGACTTGCCAGATTGTGTGACATTGGAAAAATGTTTCGAGGGTATCAGTGTGGTAGAATCTGGGCTATTTCTATGGATGACGTCCGTTTTCTGCGTTCCTACTTTAGATGTAGCCTTTGATTTACCAGTTAAAGCGGTGGACTGCTGGGGTGATACGGTAGAAGGCACAACCTTGCGGCGTTTTCGAGGTCTAGAACACGGGGTGGGGAGCGTCAGGGTTTGGAGCGTAGACCGAACTTCATCAGGCATAGGCGTCAGGTAACATTTGGTGACTGGAATCCTCATCTCCACTTCCGATGGCTCGTCGTCCTTCGCGGGTAGCTTGCGTTGATCAGCATCAACAGGGTCGAGCTTGCGCTTCTTTTTCGTCCTGTTTGATACCTCTAGTGATTCATCATGCGTCGATAGCGGTGGGACTGTAGGCGCAGACTTGACAACAATCTCTACTGCATCAAGTAGTTTGCGAGGACCTTTGCGCCTGCACCCATCGGTGGAAACAGCCTTGCCTGAGGGCGTAAAGTAGATAGAAGTCTCTCCCGTGGGTACCTGCTGCTGACTTTTAGTTACGGACTCACTCCTGGGGCGCTTTGATTTGGAATGAGAGACATGCTGCTCTGATTCCTGTGAGGTATTCTTTGAAGCTCGAGGTTTTCTAGCCGTCACTGGAAGACAATCACTATTTTCCGGCGAGCGCTTCCTCTTCAGCGAAAGAGAGGTCTGGGGGGTGTAAGCGTATGAGCGCAGAAGCTGAGAAGAGGTGGAAGGGGTGCTCATCGACTGAGTAAAAGAAAGTGGTGGACCATGATGGACCAGACCGGGTGGACCTCGGGACTGTTGGTGGCGTCACGGCCGGAAAAGGTAAAGTCAGGTTTAGTGACTCGGCTTGAGGAACTTGGGGGATCAAGCGCTCCTGTTCGTCAGAAGCCACCACCAGCGTTGAACACAAACAGTCTCTCGAACAATAATCACATCTTATATTCTTTCATATCTCTTTCTGATATATATCTCTTTTAGTTCTTGCATTCATTTACAAGAACATATACAAACCCCCGCATCTACCAATTCATTTCTTATCTACCGAAACAGTCGGGACTATTTCTTTCTTTCATATCTCTTAATGCCATCAAGGAAGAATCGAAATGCAACTCGTCAATCAGCTCATACTCCTGTTGATAATTACTCTCCTGCTATCCTTCCAGTCGACTCGAATTCTCCACCTTGGTCTACGGAACAGTCCCCCCTTCTCGAGCCAGACAGACCTCCAGATTCTCCTATCATCCAAATCAATCTCGAACTTCCTCCAGTCGTAGCAACGGAAGACGAAAGTTCACCCATCAAACATGAGGGTGGTCTTCTTCTGGCAACCCCCGAGTCTCGTCCCTCGCCTGTGCACTCAGAGGCTAAGCTTCCTCCAACAGAAGAAGACTTTACGTACATACCAGGAGCGCTGGGCCACACGCGATCTCCTGTGCTTGCCCGGTGAGCATTCTCTCTTTGTTTGTCTCTGCTGGTCCATTTTTGGGGTGCCGCAGTTCTTTCATACTTGAGGGAAACGCAAGGGGCATTTACACGGCATAGTGTCATCTTCACTGGATATTGTATCCTCGCTTTGATGCGCCCCATCAGCTTTCCTGTGTCGTGACATATTCAATCGACAAGTATAGTAGATCAACACGTGCACCTGCATTCTGTACATTGTTCTCGTTCGTTTGCCTCACTGCTTTCCTTCATTAGACACAAAAGGCAACATAGCTGAGATTGTACTCTTCTAGCGAGCCAACCATGCTTGAGAACTTCTCTCGCACTGTGCGCAACTATGTGCCGACTTCCATTCCTGTTCCTGCCTCCGCACCCTCTCCGCCGCGGGTATCGAAACCCGTTTCTTTTGGTAGCTTCATGGCCCCTCCTGGCGCTTCAAGTCTGTCTCCACCGGGTCCAAAGATACCCATTGTTTCTCAAACCACCAGGAAGTCTCTTGGCGCTGGTCTAATTGGAAATCAGCAGACTTGGAGAATGAGATCAGGCGCCCAACTTGACTCAGCAGACGTCGACGAACCTGCTATCTTCGGCTCTGAGGATGAGGACTGTGAAAGCTCGTTTTCAGGAGATCATCTCCTGACAACTTACCCTACGGCTGCGGAAGGCGACTCCATTATGTGGTCGCGCTGGGACACCCTCATTGAGAACGGTTCGAGACCTCGGTAAGCTAAATATTCTCTCAGGGAAAGACAGTTTTGTAACAGACGTTTCATCGTTCAGGCGTATACTGTTACTTGGCTACACCACTGGCCTTCAGATTTGGGACTGCACAATCCTGGGATCAGTGTCCGAAATTCTGAATCTTACTGATTATCCTTTTGGGTCCGTTACCTTTGCTGGTGTGCTTGCAACCCCGCACTCCTCTAGAGAGCGGGATAATGACAGTTCTAGGCCTCTGATTGGTGTGGTGTGCGTTAAATTTCATGCTGGATACGTGACATCCACCTCTGATGAACGAAACGTTCAGCTCTAGGTCGAAAGACAAGTCAACGATGTCTATATATTCATTGCGGGCTCACAAGGTTATCAAGCATCTTCCGTTTGTTAATGTAACAACCTTTGCTCCAAGCGCGCACTTCATTGTTATTGTAAGTGTCTAGCTTATCCATCGGTAAGACATTGCTGACTAGCGACCGACAGAGTACTACAAATCCACCAACTCTGCACATTCTTTCTTCAGCATCCTTTACAGAGCTACATACTATTTCTTCGCTTGCTATTCTTCCTTCGTACACAACAATTCCATATAAAGCCAATACCAACAACATTGTATCATTAACAACGATAGACTCCATCAACACCAACCACGCTTCCCATGACTACCCCGCTCCCATATTTGCTCTTTCTCATCGCATCTTGGCATATGCTTCCCCGCCTCCTAGAGCAGACTCTCATGTTGGAGCCGTTTCTCAACCTCGCACGCGCCTACATTCCCCGCCAAGCACCCTCGGAATATCTCATGCTGCTGCACTCAAGGTCGGGGGGACCGTCCTCAGCGGTGTGAAGTCCCTTGGCGGAATGGCATATTCCGCCGCTGCGGAGTATGCGAAATCTCGCGCGGGCGCGGGAGATCAATCACGCGTGGCTCAAGGACAGTCATCAGTGATGAGTGGCGTCAGTAACCTCTTCTTTTCACGGAGCGCCCCTGCTGCGAGTAGCGGCCATTCGGACCCAACCGAAGTTACGTCTCCATCGTCGGCGCTATTTCCAAATACCCAAGAGGAGGCGGATTCTTCGACGCTATCGTCGGGTTATCATATTACAGTACTGGATCTGGCTTCTCTTTTGGCCAGAGACAATCCGTCCGTACGCATCATTTCCGAATTCATCGCATTTAAGCACCAGCCCGTGTCCTCTCTCAAGTTCACTCTTGATGGGACCTCATTGCTAGTATCTCCTAGGGATGGGCAAGCTGTTCGCACCTTCCAGATTCGACCTACGCCGAGTGTTTTACTTCCCGTCGACTCCAAGAAGTATGCTGGCGAGCATCAAACCGCGGTCGTCGGCCGACAACTCAATGCTGAACCAAGTTCACCGTGGCACATGTACAATCTGCGCAGAGGTCGGACGACTGCCGTCATTGATGGGATCGAAGTTTCGCCGGATGGGAGGTGGGTCGCTTTCGGCACTAGGAAATCGACGGTACACGTCTTTGCTATCAATCCATATGGCGGAAAGCCCGACTTGCGAAGCCATATGGAGAACAGGGTTCGGAATACAAACGAAGCCGTAAGTAAACATTCTCTTCCTAACTCGTTTAGTTTTGCTCAGATTGTATTAGCATGTCCCTTTGTCCGTTGAATTGTCGTCGCTTGTGCGTCTCAGATCCGTCAAGGCGTCCGCTCATAGCGGCGTCAGACCGGGAATTACCTTTACGTTCCTTCCTAGCGACACACCGTTGCCTGCCAGCCTCCAGCCTCCCCCCTCTGCTATCACATCATCTGCTAGCACGTCCTCAAGTCGTTCTGACCTGCCTTCTCCGCTTCGGGCGAGGAAGAGTGCCAACTTCCAGGATCTTCTTCTCTTTGATCCGTCTGATGGCGTGCTATCTTTACGACGTGTCATGCTTGAACAGCGTCCTCGGGATACGGGCGCATTTTCATACACATTAGCCAACTTACCAACGAGTATGTCGCTTCCCGGTACTAGTGCCGCTGGTCGTCTCAGTACATCGCCACACAATCGCGCCGGCGTCCCATCAACCAAGACTTCTGGCCTAACTCAGAAGATGTTGGAAAGTGCCAGCGAATTGCATGGTCGAGATGCAATGATCGCTACTTGGCAACTTAGACGACACCGAGATTGGGGCGAAGTCAAACACGTGCAGCATTTGAATGCAAGGTCTCCAGGACGAACGCCTATTGCAAAGTATGCGCTTTTGTCAACAAAGTCGTTTTGATGCTGACGCAGATTGCATTGCTTTTAGCTCTCTTGCTCATGCAGAACTGTCTACATGTTCCAGGTCACAGAATGTGGTTCCTCGTCTCATCTATCTCGCCCACCAATTCAACTTTTACACTCTAGGCGAAGATTACCACGCTCTCATTCGCCGCAATAAACTAGACGTGATAGGGACCAAGATGGACGTGCGCAAGGAAGTGGAAGTTAGTGCATATTCTGCAGGCACTGGGGAGTCCTTCGTCGAGGGATTTTCCCCTCGTGATATGGGACGAGTCGCAACTTCGTTTGACGAACCAATAGCGTCTGCTATATCTGCCGATATGGAGTACCCGCGTTCATCTCGGTCTCTCATCCCCATGCTCCCGAACGGAGCAGGTTTGAAGCCACGGTCCTTCAAGAACCCCATCCCCATCCGCGCGATGACGTCCAATATTGCCGAAGGCGTCGGAGAAGGCTTTGGTCGCATCCGAAGAGAAATCAGTCGAGTTCGTTCTCCACAGCTTGTGCCTCGACCAGAAGGTCTATCGGCGTCTGTTCCTCTTGAGTTCGACGAACATGACGAGGATCTAGCTTTCCCGGGAATGGAACGAGATGATGATGCTGTGGATGACAATACGTCCAGGGGCGGAGACGCCACGGACCCTTCGATTGATACACCTCCTACCGATACTGAGCTGTGCGATGAAGGCACAGAATTATGGCATGGTTGGACAGATGAGGATAAACTCGCTGTGGACGAAGCAGAACAATTTGATGATGTTGTCGGATTTCTAGACGAGGAGCAGACGCCGGCAATCCAAGCGGAGCAAAGGAGGGCGAACAGGAAACAGCTTTGGTAGGTATCACACGTTTGCGGTGCTGCGCTTCCTGTTGCTTACTACCTACGTTTGTAATGTGTACTATCTGACATGTAACACGCGGTATGTAACACGCGGTCCAATGAAATTAGTGAACTTTGTTTGTAGTCCAAGATAAATGTTACATGTACACATGAGATGCTCTGGGTGATATCAAGATACACGTGTTGGTATGTAGTGACCATAAGCAGCGACCAACGAAACATTGACAAGAAATGAAATTAAGATGTGTGTACATTATGAACGACTTGAGACTGGTCCGTTCTGCCTTGCGACCGCGCGACCCGAGGTGTCACAGGGGAATGCAGGCCGTAGGGCTGTGGAAACCCGGGAATCTGTGCAAGAGCGAACGTAGGCTGGGTTTGATGGTCTATAAAGGTACTCCGTGGGGTGCGATGGCGACGGACCGAGAGAAGAAGGCGGACGGGGTCGGGGATAACTATAAGAAGCAGTTTTCCGGGTTGGGGAAGGCGATCGCGACCAAAACGAGGTGTTCTGCGACCCTGATCCACTGGGATGATTAACCTCCTTATGTTCTTTACTGCAGCCCTCGTACACGTCCATTGCGTAGTGGGAATCATCGTCAGAAAGATCGTCTTCTGATTCTTCTGAGTCTGTTGCAGGTGGCGAGACCAGTGACTGGCCGTGGCCTAGCATATCCGAAGGGAACGGGGATTGGTCACATGGACCACGCCCATCCATGTCAGCCAAGTGGTGGCTCGCAGACAGTCTCGTGTGATTCCGCCAGTGGCGACGCATGTTTGAATTGACATTGAATTCACGACCACATCCTGGATATGGGCACTGATATGCTAAAAGAAGATAAGTCAGCTAGTGTCTTCGTGGGCTGTTGCATACGAATTGAGAAGAAGTGATGCAACGAGGCAAACACGATTTGTCTTGAAGACGGACTAGTCCGAGATAATCAGATATAAACGTACGTTTTGCTCCCGTGTGCGTGTTTACGTGGATCTTCATGCTGCTGGGGCGATTGAATCGCTTGCCGCAATGAGGACACTGGTGCTTCTTACCGCGCCCTTCTCCATGCAGCATTGTGGTTAAATGGTCCGATGACTTTAGGTAGGGTCTCCTGCCATCATTTGTCATGACGGTGGAAGCAGAATTGGAGGGTCTGATACAGAAAAGGACAATACGGAAGACGAAGGCTGTGATCTGGATTCGTGAACGTGATGGGTTGGACTAGCTGGTGTGAAGGCACCGTCCCGTGGAATTTGGGAACTATAAAGAGGGCCAGGGGACCTATGCTTGTGCCGTTGTTGTGACTGCCGAGGAGGTACGAAGGCAGCCATAGAAACGCGGAAAACTGGTGCTGATCCATTGGCGATTCCCGCGCCCCGATTTTCCCTGAGAGGATGCTGTTGCACGAGTACGCAACTTAGTGCTAGAAGCGATATGCTCGAGTGAAGATGTGAGAGGGTCAGCTCGGAGAACATTGAATGAATAAGTTGCAGGAGGTTGGAGACCGTCTGAAACCTGTGGGGTGCGATAGGATAATTGACGATTTGGGGCTGAGTCAGAACTTGTGCTGGATGGGGGTGGGGATGGGAGACTACGAATTGCTGATTCATGTTCTAGTGCGGAATCACCCGTACGATAGGGTTTTTGACCGCGGTGACGAGATGTGCTGCCGTCGCGAATATGATCCTGATAGATGAGTGTGAGGAGGATTGACGCGTGTAAACAAGGTGGATCGATCCACTCACAGAAATTGGCAACAAATCAGAGTCCTGAGAGGAGGGTTGGGTACGAATTGAAATTTCTATACATTGAACAAGAGTGAGTGACTAGTCAAAGTGGGTTCAAAGAAGGTTGTATACCGGGAAAGATGTCGCGTATGCTAGGGAGTGGTACACTCTGGTGAGACATAACTTAATATTGCTATAGACTGCAAGTGCGCAGTCAAGGGTAGTAACACCTGTTGTGGGCTTTGGGGGCTAAAAGGAATTGAGGCGGTATTTATATAGAAAACGGAAGAACCTGAAATGGGTGATGAAATGCGGTGTTCTAAAGAAGGACCGAGCGCGCACTGATGCGAGCACCGAGGATTGGCTCAATAATTGACATCACCGTGGAATATGCGACCGCAGCATGAAACCCTGGTAATCCTAGAAAAGAGGATCAAATAACGGGATTTAGAGAGAAACCCGCAAAAGCTAGAAATCGGGATTTTGATGTTCGGTTGTGTATTGATAAGAGGGTATTGCGGTGATGAAGTGGGAGTGAAAAAGATTAGCCTTGCCATGTACAGAAATGGTTACAAAACAGTTTATTACCTATTACAATGACACAAACACCAAGACTCAATATCTGAGTACAACTTTTTTATCTCCAGGGGTTATTTTAATTCCTTTATATCCAAAACTAGTGAAAACTACTCTTCCTCTTTCTCAGATCCCTCCTGAAAATCTCTCTTTTTCAGTCTTCTTTTCATTCTATATTAAATCGGCCGCCGGTCTCCCTTTTCGTAAGTAAATCCGCCTTACCGCACTTCACTTACCGCATTATTATCTACGATGATCTTTTCCCCTTTCTGACTTGTGATCTCCGCCCCATCCCTTCTCATTCCTGACTTATCCGCCGATCTTATCGTCAGCTGAGAATGTATCAGCCAGGCCAGCTAACGAGATTTTCTGCCGTACATTTGTATTGTCGTACTATGTTACCGGCATTATTAACTTGCTCAAGCGCCTGTCTTCACTTGTCGACTAACTTTCCCTGTCATACATTTCGTTGACAGTGGGCCATAGATCGTGGTCACCTTTGATCCTTCCTTACGTCCACATGACTTTCCACCAACTCTCCGAGGTGATACGGTGCTTCTCATCCGTGGATATAGCTCCTTCGGCACTCCCCACCAATACCAAACCCATCCGTCGATGTGCTCCGTACTACTTTGGATTGTCGCGTATTGGTGTTCTTTATGTTCCCCAGAGGATCTCTTGACTCATCCGCGGTGCTACGTATACATCGGACACAACATGGCACCTTCCGATCTAGTTGCGCTCTAAGCGGACTCTTGGTCATGCGGCTAGCACGTTGGATTGGTTGCTGGATCATAGCCTCCGTTCACTCGTCCAAAATAAATCGATCCGTTGGTCTATAAATTAACTATCCCCCCAACTGCGACACTGATTTTCGGATTGGCGCGGTGGCTGTCTTGCTATGTTTAATATTCTCTTGCCATTGTGGGAAATCGCCGTTAAGATCGACAGGGCACATGGTTGCCGCCGGTTGGATGGCCGGATTTTCACTGCGGTTAATTGCGTTATCGATCAGCCAGTTGCCCGTACTGATGACAGCTAGCCATAATTCTGAAAGAACTTTTCCCGATATGCAGAAAGATATCCCAGATCAGTGAGAAAACCATCATTCAAGTGTCCGACACCATGTGCTCGATTGACAAATATTATGCAAACGGTGACCTGAAACACATTTAGCACTTCAGATCTCACCTTCAGATCGGTGCCGACCACGAGCCTTGGAGTTCCTATTTAAAGTGAATTACTCTTTCCAAGTCCATGCAACATGTGCAGACAATAAGCTGAACACAAAGTCTGCGAACGAATCATAGACTTCATCCGGAGGATGGACCCCAGCCTTGGATTCATCCCCTGCTCGGTACTTTCCTGTCTTCACTAAGAATCCCCATTAATCATCCCTTGGCACGGCAAATTGTAACAAATAGAATTAATACCTAAGATCCTCCATAGACACAGCTCTATGGCGCCGCCACCAAGGTCTGCTTGGACATCGTCGCCAATCACGGCGATGCATCCTTCAGAATCGTGACTCTCGCAATCGAGGCTCTCAATCACCGTTTCGAAGAATCCTTTACTCGGCTTTCCAAGCACCTCCGCTTCCCTTTCGGTAGCATTTTCAAGAGCGGCGACAAATGGTCCTGGACCAAGCGCAAGCCCATGGCCCGAGGATTCTATGTATCTAGCTTTGTGTAAAGCGATGAGGGGGATCGATGCCTTCGGATCCTCATTGCACCGCTTCTGCGAATCATCCTCCCCAACAAGAATGCGAAATGCAGAGTTGAGATGATCATAGTCGAACAACGTAGGCGCCAAGCCAACAATTACCGCATCATAGGGGACATTAGGATCGTACATTCCTGCGGAAATGCATTCATCTTTAGCGGTCTCTGACAAGAGGAAATACGGCCTTGAAACGGCTTCAGCTGCATAGCCGGTTTGAAATTGGATCGCTACCTTCTGAGACCCCTTGACAGGATAAGACTCTGTACCGCCTTAAGGCTCGTCCATAGTTCTTGCGACTCTCCTGTTTGCACGTCAAATCCAGCATCCAACATTCTCTTCTGAAGGACTGAGGTGGATTCTTTGCTGGTGTTGCTGCAAAACCTGAACGGGAAGTTACTGCGCCGCAGCTCGGCAAGTGCTTGAACTGCTCCTTGTGTGGGCGTTGAGCCGATCATAAGAGTGCCAGAAATGTCTATAAGCAAAGCACGGATTTTTGGTCTAGATCTTACAACCATGGTGAAAGTGAGGCGTTGCTTTATCGTTATCTATGATGGAAGTGAAGGTCACTGTCGGACCTTGGTGGCTAGCGTCCATGGAATTCTGTCACGTGCGGCCACCTATCTCGTACTGCCTCGTTCAAACCTCGAGTCCTTGACGATTTGCATCCATATTATTTTTCGTCTTTTGTATACAGTATGTAACCGATGCCAAACCAAGTACAAATTCACGTAGCATCCTGACGAAGAGGATACAGTATGTAATCAACGGAATCAGACCATAAAAATGTTCACGTAACATCCTAGCGGAGAGAAAAAGAACTAGAATCTCAGTGCTGCTCAATACTCAGGCAGGGCCCCACAGAGCTTCTGCATCCACCTCTCGCGGACCGCGTGGTGCTGCCACATCATGTTCTTCATCAGGGGGTAGTGCAATTCTCCCTTCTCGCTTGGTAAGTCGACGGTAGAGGAGCGTTCCCAAGAGAGCCAGAGGGTGAAGTACGGTGAAAAAAATAACAGTGATCTAGATAAGTGTCAGTAAGCAGGCAAAAATATCACGCAATTTAACTCACATAAACAGGAGCAGGTTTTGGCCTCGCGCTCCATATACTCGCACAAATCCAGGTAGCTGCGACAGCCCACACGATATCACAGCGCATCAGTATCACGACCAAGCCAATGAGATTTGCGCCAAATGTGGCCCCAAACCCAGGCCAGGCAAAGCGGTCGTAATGTTCGGGGTGACCAGGTGAGTAATATAACCCCAGAGTGATGCTGAAAGGCATATAAAATCAGTTATGCAACTTCTCTTGAAGACAAAACTCCTACAAGAGCGAATAGGAAAACAGCAAGGATAGAGGAAGAACGAGGAAGAAACGCAGTGGAGCGTGAATAAGTGCCGTGTCGAGAGGGCGAGAGGATGTGGGAGGATGATATATAAGAAGCGCGATGTTCGAATACAATAGACATAGAACCAGAAGTCCAAGAAGTATCGTCGAGAGTAAGAAAAACTCAAGGACCTAGTCACGCATGGCAGTAATGTTCAACAGATTTAGGATATGCAACGTACCCAACTCACGGCCCAAAGAGCCATCAACCAGTTTGCAAAAACCAGGGAAAGACCAACTCCTTTCACTAGCGTTGTCTGCGGTGTGCTAAGGACACTTCAAGTGCTCACAAGCAATGTGCTACTTACCTTCGTCTCAGACTTCCTGGCTACAACCAGTAATACGCAGTAGCCTATCTGCCCAAGAAATATAGCGGCAATATAAGCGGCAATGAGGCTTGGCGAAGGAGATATAGATGTGGGGTGTGACTTGATAATGGAGCCTAGTAAACACCAACGGAATGAGAGACGAAATGAAGCATAAGCATGATGCTCACCGGCTGATGGACTGATGATAACTGAGCACACAAGCAGTGTCGCGATGTTAATCAAAAGTGACAAAGGGGTGAGGACCTGCAGCCTGTGCAACTAATCAGTACTAGGTACTGATGATGGTGATCAAGAGGGGCTATACACACCGTACAAGGGAAAGGTAATCCCGCACTGCAGGATGAGAAACATCGAGAGGTAATGAGTCCATAGCCCTGGATAGCGTCACAAAATTTTGTGTTGGTGGATGCAGTAGGTGATTGTAAGGGGCAAGTTATAACGCTGGCATCGACGTTCAACTTGATGATGTCATAGACCTTGAGGTAAACAAAGGAAAACAACTTTAAATTTTGTGACGGAGAAAAATCAAGAGACTCAACATGCAGTTGACATGCAGAACAGATCACAGCGTTCGCGGAAGAGGGTGCGCGTACCTGCTGCACTCCATACAGAACTCACAGAACACGCCATGTTAATCAAGACAATCCGGACAAATCATTTGCTTAATCTTACTCACCAACTATACAGCCATGCTAGTGCCCAACACGCTGTCGATCGTGAAAATATCCGTCAAGGCAAGGGAAAGTTGAAATCAAGAGATACATGGACTACTTGGCCTTTGATAGATTGCTTTATTCCGGAATGGCTGATTGAAGACGAAGTTAAATCTCTTGCTGAACTGGTGGCTCGTCAGCTCAAAACTAAATGTCTATCGGGAGGACATGACCACCAAACAGAATCTCAGGACGATGAAGAGGGAAAGGATGACGACGAGTTGGAACCTTTGTCACCAAGTCTCCTCCGAGCTCTAGTCTGGCAATCCACTAAGGTCCTGGTCTGCATTTTGGACTCCATACTCGAACAGCGACCAGGGGTAGCAGATAGTATGCAGAACAGGATGTGGGCATTTAATTGGGAGGGTGTTCTGAGAGTCTTAATCTCGGGCATGACTCTAGACAGAAAGTAAGCTACTGTCTTTTATGAGGCCCATTTATACTGACGATCATTCGCAAGCGTGATATTTGCTGCAAACAGGCGCCTGTCTTCAATATATGGCTTATCCAAGACTCTTGACATCGGTATTTGATTTTTTTTGCGAGTTTCTCTTTGGTTTCATATTAACCACCGCACCTCAGCTTTGTCGAGAATTGGGCGCATTGAATCTCGTACATCCGTGTTGGCTGAACTCTCAGAAAGGCACGAGGATGCCTTTCTTCAGCAACCCACCGTGCGTATACGGAGGCCACCAAGTAAGAACACCTCATCATTATACCGCAACTTGTTTTATACATCTATCCCCAGAGAAAAGACGGCGGGTCATGTCCAGGGCGACTATTGAAACTGATACAGAGTAGTCATATCTTCCTGTGTTCCTGTGGCTGCTGCTGTGCCTGGTGTTTCTCCGATTGACAAGACATTCTGCTCGGTCATCACCTACGACTATGTTTGTGTGTTTCAACTGACGTGCACTACGCTTTCTAACGTGTTTCGCATGTTTCGCAGCTAATGGTTTCAGTGCTCAATACGACGAACATCAAGATCGGTTCAACATACCTGTCACACGCTTTTACAATTACACCGCTTTTGGCATACCCGACTATATTCCGTTCAATTGTGCATGATTGGACAGGACCAACGGTTTCAACCGAAGTTCTTATGACGGGGATCAGATCACACCGGCAAGAACCGACCTAACCGAATTCATATATGTCATGCGAGATCCGGGGCACCTCGCCCTCCTCGCGCTAGCAATCCTTTATGGGAACTTGACAAATACATAGCTTCCAATGCTGAGGAATATTTTTGATGTGATAGGTTGCGAGCTGTTGCAAGATTTTGATGACCCAGCGCTGAACATCGACTGCGCCTACATTCCCATTGCACGGGTTATACTAAGTGAGCACAACATCTGCGCCCGTTATCAATGATGGCACTGGCCCGTGAACCATTATTCGTTTCATGTGATGTTTGATGGATGGCAGCACGCAGTCACTTGAAACTTGAATACTCGTGCTCCATTTCACGTTCAGGTACAATTGTCGTTGTTCTGAGACATGCTACCTGTATTGCGGTTGAATATATCTTGCCAGACTACAGCAATACTCAACTTCGCCAATGATACCGGTACCTGAACTTGCTGTGACCGGCTGTAGACTGACTCACATGCCAAAGGTGTTTTAGAGCTGAAGGGCATCGCATGACGGCAATTGATAAAGATTGAGTACTGGATTTCAATGCTGTCCTATTCTGTGTTTTGGGTTTAGAGAATGTGCACGCACAGAATTCCTTCCTTTTCTGATGACGGTCTGGTCCTAGTAGGGGAGGTCATACACCAATCCAATGGAAACAGAGCGTTCTAACTCGCCATGAAAGAAGGACCGATAAAACTAAAAATATTGACAAGGGAGCTGGCAGCACGCAAGAGAAAGCAATAATAGGCCCGGGTACTTTTGCGTGAAGGGGTGACAGTCTGCCAGAGTATAAGTTCGAAGTGGAAGTAAACTCCATATGGGCCCCGGGTAAGTTTGATGTGTATGAGCGCAAATCGACAGTATTTGGGTCATGGGAATGATGCGGGACGCGCTGCAGGGTGGTGTGGACATGTCTGGGACAATCAAGGGCGACCAATTAAGCAACTTACACTGGCGTGCCCTCCAGATATCAGCCTCCATCATAATTTTTGACGGGTCTTTGATAATAATGCCTGAGTAAGGACGGGATCTACAAAGCGGTGCCTTACAGTTGGGCGCATCATACATCAACATTTGAACAGTTACAGCATTGCATTCCACGGTTACCGCTCATAAAGCTATGTCACGACAGGGCCGAATACAGTCCGTAGCTGTGCACTACAGAGAGAGCTAGTAGAATGATGGTTATGCATCCTCTTCAAAGGTATCGTTGTGAGTCGAGGAGTTCACATACTAAGACTACAATAGCAAATACCTTTTGTACAATACTTCATCCATTGCAGAAGCCCGAGCACGTCGCATCGTCCAAAGGTTGGTTTGGGCAACTTATTAAACTGATATCGGTCATGACGGAGTTGAGTCACAGCCGCTGAAGAGTTTGAACGGCTGAGAGCTGGAAGCGAAAGTCTGCCGACCACAGCCGGCGACATTGTTACCAAAATTAGTGAAGGCTGTGACGTTTTCAAGTGGTGACTGCTTGCTTTGCACATGCTTTGCACTGGGCGCCTTGAGCTTGTTCACAGCGCTGAACGCGCGAAGCGTCGATCCAATCTCATCAAGCGCCCGAGTTTCATGCCCATCGCAAGGCAGTGATTGCAAAATCGTTGGGCGGTGCCGACTAAAGAACGTGAGTCGATAAGTTTTGATGCCGCTGATCTCAGAATTTGCTTTCTTCCGAGTCATACATTGAAACCACAGCCAGCATGTGATCGTCATGTCGACCGAGGGATTCATGGCTTATCTGAGCTTGTACGTCAGAGTCACAAAGTCACACAGGAACTACAGGAACCCCCTACCCTTCAGACACATATAAGCGTCCGATGGACATCGCTATTTTCTTGTCCCCGCTGAAACTAGGAACTTGGCTAGTTTTCGTTATCATATCCCCCTTGCCCTTACGATACCACTGTTCCAGACAGTTCCCCTTGTTTCATTTGACGCCTATAAAATCAAGCAGTCCACGGATTAACCATTAACCAGATCATCCACAGATCATCAGCCCTCATAAGACATACCACGATCAAACCGCCTGCAGATCCTCACCCCTCACTAGATATACATACCATGTCTTCGTTCGCCGAGTCTTCCGCAGATTCACATGAGCACCCACAGGGCGCCTGTCCAGTGACGGGCAAGACATACGACTTCTGCCCAAGGCAGGCTGGGGACGTAAGATCGCCCTGCCCGGCGCTGAATGCCCTTGCGAACCACGGTTACCTGTGAGTATCAAATCTCCGGAGTTGTAATACATAAGAACTGACGATAACTTGTCCAGCCCACGAGATGGAAAGAACATTGGCGTATGGGACCTCGTTCGTGGACTCAAAAACGGATACCAACTATCAACAGTGCTGGCCTGCCTCTTGTCATTTGGCGCCATGCTCCTACTCGGGCAATACAGATGCTTGTCCCTCTCAGATCTCGCTCGTCATAACATGATCGAGCATAACGCATCACTTGTCCACAGAGACGACAACAATGGTGCAGAATATGCCCCGACCAAGGTGGACAGGAAACTATTAGCCGCCCTTTGTGCAGAGGGAGGAAAGCTACTCCCAAACAGAATAACTCTCGAGGATGCCGCGCACATCCGTGTCAAGAGAGAAGCGCAATGCGGAAAGTTGGATGGTGTACATGCCGAAATAGCTCGAGGGGAGATAGTAATTGCTATCGGAGTCCTAGGTGGCAAGGACGCGTTGAAGAACGGCGTCAACATTAGCGCATTGCACGAATGGATGCAGCATGAGCGTCTGCCTACTGGCTGGAGGCCGGATCACACCCAGGGCTTGTACCAGACATACAAGATGGCGAAGTATGTCAGGGAGCGCATGAGGGAGATCGGAGCGCAGCAACCACCTAACAAGCCAGGGGAGTATTAGGGTTGGTTTTCTGTCTTTATTTTATTTGTGTTTGGATTTTATTCGTATATATATACCCATTGATATCTGTTCGTACAACAAATTTACTTATATCACGCATTACCAGTAACACTATTAATTATTCTGCATTTCATTTATGTAATCCCTTTACGAGCTGATGGTTGCACGATTGACAATCATCCCTACAATCTATGGCTTGGCTTTCCCAGTTCATTCACATGAGATCGAGCGTCAGTATCACTCTACTGCTGATCTCGGCGCCCCACATCACGAACAGTAAGTACCAAAGGACTTTTTCCATCGCAAATTATATAAAGACGTTCCAGATTGACATGATGTTTTAAATGACCACTGACCAGACCAGCCACACACACCCCACACCAGCATGTCCACCCCTCGTACCCGCAGGTGCCACCATGACGAAGGATAGCAACGCAGACACCCGAGCTACAGAGACAACAGCAGGATATTCAGACTCATCGTGGACCAACTTAGCTTCCGGTCCTCCATGAAATTGATTGTCGCTGATGTGGTAGGAAAGAATTCGAAATTCGGTAAAGTCTCGTTTGGAGAGATACATCCAGGGAGGTCATGTGGATACATTCTAGAATACGTAGTCTCGGAGCTCGAAGGCTATTAGTGATCAGTATTCAGATGACGCCTTGTCACGCCAAGAAACTCTATCGAAATGAGGACTGACCAGCGGAAGGACATTGCTTTTGAACCATGGCTTTCTTATCCGTCGGCTCCTTGCAGCCTTCATCTATAAGGTGGAAGCGTATCCGAACAAAGGCCTACAGGATGTGAAGACCGATGATAGCGTAAGTGCGCAACCCATATTTCGTACTGAATTGGCTACGCACTGGCGCGAGGGACAGACATTGTCAAGTGCAATCGATAGACCGACAGAACTAGTATGCATCGGAGGTTATGACATGTCGGGAACTTCACCCGCCACGGAGCTGTCGAACGCATGATGATACTTGAGAGTCATGTTTCCCATAAGACGGTATTTCGAGATTGCTATTGTACCCTGTGGCCCGTGGTGCGAGATATTTGCCCAGATGGTTCCAGGTACGTGAGGGCAGCACAAATATATCGCGGGACAATCGCACAGTTTAGACATCGTCGATGGCGTCTGACAAATCAAACAAATCACTCTGGATTCCCAGTAGTGACAACAAACGCAGCTGCACATTGGAATTTGAGAGCAAACATGGTGCGGCCAGACAGGGACTACTCAACTTCCAGCCACACCTTGCGGATCTCATGCATGGCCATTCTTGGCAAAAATCGTTCACTTGGGCGTCAGGCCTGTTGTAGAGGGAGAAGACCGTGACCAGTTTTTGTTGGTCTTCTCGGAGGGCACGGTGGGCCGCTCGGGTCCGCTGGGGTTATGTTTTTTTGCCAATTGAATGGCTGTGCAAATAGGTCCGTTGCTCTTTGGCAAATTTAGTATTTATCCGTTATAAGTTTAGAACTGCATCTGCCGTGAGGGAGGTTAGTTGATATTGTTAAAATACCAACGACTCAAAATATTTCACCTCCTTCCTGTGTCGGTCACTCTGGCCTCGATGGGAATGCGAGCTGTGTAGCGCAAGATCAGACTGCGGCTGGTCGGCCGGTCGGTACTAGCGGTGACTCGCGAGCTCTAGATTTCATGACCCACATCGGCAATTGTGAGCATTCGGCTGTCGCCGAGCTGGGAGTATGTACGGAGTACAAACTTAGTCCACCTGGGTCCTGTAACTCCTGTTCCCATTCTCGAATAATGAAATGACGAGTAGCTATAGCATTCGATCACTTCTTCTGCTCTGTGGCTTGATTTCACTTACAACTCAAAAAGATGTGCCAGACGCCTTCAGAATTCCGCCCAGTGAAGCAGTGGACAATGTTAATCCGTCAGCATTACCACTTGCACAATTATTATCCATCCGCATAACTCATGCTGTTTCAATAGGCTTATTGGCAATGGCGGGGACTCTCCAAATGGGTCTGGAGGTATGATTCCGTCAGCTTCGCCCCCATTTGCCATGACACGATGGGTTGCCCAAACATCCGAGAACTACGTATCTGTCACTCCATATAATTACACTGCGACATCGATCCATGGCTTTCAGGCAACCCACCAACCAGCCATCTGGATGGGTGAGAGCGGTCAAGTGGTAATATCTCCAGGCGCTGGCCAGGTGCAACCTAAATTCGATGAGCGAGGCATGAGTTTCACTCACGAGAACGAAGTTATCACTGCTAGTTATTACAGTGTGAACTTGAACGCTATTGAAGGGGGTCAAATTCTAGCCGAACAAAGTTCTAGTACGTCATCTGTTCTATATCTACAAATCTTCCAGTTTGCTGAGTTCTATTGAGCTTCTCGTGTCGGACACCTCCGTTTCACGTTCACCGATACGCGTCAACCTTACGTTCTTGTCGAGGCTACTCGGGCCAGCGTTCTTGGGTCTTCAGACCCCCATAATTTGACTTATCCTCACGGTTCCATATTCATTAATCCTGACACTCGCGAAATTTCTGGCAGCAATCCTGAACGCCAGGACTTCATTATTGCGCCTGTTTCGACACCTGCAAAACATTGGAGTGGATATTTCTGCGCGCGCTTCGACCAGCCTTTCGCGTCATGGGGCGTTTCCAAAAACAACACTCTTTTTGATGGTCAGACAAGCGGCAATGGCACACTGCTATCAGGATATGCGACATTCTCACCTGAAGTGGTGGAAGTCAATGTCAGGATCGGCGTTTCTTTCATTTCTGTTGAGCAAGCTAGAAAGAACTTGGACATGGAGATACCTGACGGGAATGTGCTAGAGGACACAGCGACAGCGACTCGATCAGCTTGGGCTGAGAAATTGGAGCTAATCAAGATCAAAGGCGCTTCCAAGGATCAACTGCAAACTTTTTACACCGCGTTTTTTCACACATTGCAGGCAGAGTATTTCTTTGTTCGCCGCAGAAGAACGAGATGCTCACATTTCCTTCTAGTATCCTTACGAGCAGAGCGAATATGGCCAGTACTACTCAGGATACGATGATGCTGTGCACCAGGGAGTGTCATATACTGGATACTCGAACTGGGTAAGCACAAAGCTCTGAGCATGATAGAGGTCTAATGTATTGCATAAGGACACATATCGCGCCGAATGGGCATGGCTTATTTTATTTGCGCCCGACAGGATACCAGGTATGGTACAGAGTATGTTACAGGACTACAAAGAGGTGGGTTATATTGCGACTTGTTCGATGGAAGATGTTTTCATCCACAGCACACAGGGTGGTCGACTCCCAATGTGGAAGAACATCATTGGTAGGTTTTAGTACTTATCTTATTCCTGAATCTCATCAATTTTTTGTCGTCAGAGACGAACATTATGGTGCCTCTTTTGCCGCTCTGTGCCGTTCCGCATGATTAGTGAACATGCCTCCGCAGGTCGCAACTCATGCGGATTCCCTCATTGCAGAAGCTGTCTTGAAAGGCATGTCCGGGTTCGATTTAGAGACCGCATGGGAGGCCGTGTATAGCGATGCAACAGTGCCTCCGGTCAATGATACAACTACCGCGTGGGTTTAGAAGTTCTCCTGTTATATGGGTAACTAAGCTGAATGTTTATAGATACTTTGATCGTCAGGAAGTAAGAATTTAATTTTTCAATCCCTGCAGCATCAGATCTTTTGATTGTCACAGAATGTCAATTATGAAGTTCGTGCCGGCTTGACTTCGGTCTATGAAGAGAAGGGCTGGGTTGCAGATGACATCCATTCCGAATCAGCGTCTCGAACCCTAGATTATTCTTGTGACGTTCTTGTTCTCTCTTTATATGGCCAACACTTACCACCTCGTTTTGTTTCATTCATTCAGATGACGATTTTGCTGTATCTGTGCTCGCAGGTCTCCTCAATAAAAGTGAAGAGGAACTGTTTTTCCGGCAGCGCTCGCTGCAAAATCCGTTTACCATTTTCAACTCACTCACTGGTTTTATGGAAGCGCGCAACGCAAGTGGTGCGTGGGCCGGTCCCGATAATGGGTGGACGGAAGGCGATAAATGGGCTTACACATTTGACGTGGTACACGATACACCGGGACTGATCGCTCACAAAGGCGGCAACGCGACGTTTGTAAAATTCTTGGACGAGCATTTTGACGGTGGTAAATTCTAGCTATGACCCGAACTGGTATTTCTTACTGATTTCTTCCGTCTGCTTCAGGTCACAATGATCATACCAATGAGGTCCGTTCCTGGTATATGGTGTCGAAACTGCTAACACATTCTTGCAGCCATCCCATCATATTCCCTACCTGTATTCCCTCGCTGGAGCTGCGTCAAAATCTCAATCACGTATTCGCCAGGTTGCAGATTTAAACTACAACGCTTCCGTCAATGGCCTCTCTGGGGTATGTCAAGCTGTAGAACGTTCAGCCAGTCCATTCGACTAATATAGTGCAGAATGAGGATTGCGGCCAGATGAGCGCGTGGTATTTATTCAGTGCATTGGGATTTTACCCTGTAAACCCTGTGTCGGGATCGTACGTGGTTGGGTCGTAAGTGCAGAGCGTCGTTCAGACTCCACCGCTAACCTTTGGACCTTCAGTCCATTTTTCGATGAAGTAGAGATCCAATTCCCATTATCCAACGCCACCAGCCTGAAAATCATTTCGGACGGTGCACCGTCGAAGCCATTCGTAAATTCGCTCATCATCAATGGCGTGGATATACCCAGCCCCATTATCTCGCACAACCAATTACTCGACGGAGGCAGATTTGAGTTCATAATGTCCAGCCGACCACAGGCCTGGGGGAGTAGCACTTTGTGCTCGAAGGACAATACGGTGGGTGACAAAAGTCCGTGCACCATCTTGTTTATTGACGCATTAACATCAGGATTTAACCAACGAACAAGACATATCGGCGCAATACTACATGGCACACGTTGAGGGCATCCATACGTCTTGATTGCACTTGAACAAGTTGAGCTGTCTGACAGCCACCAACGGCAAAAGGGGAAATCATTCCACTCGTGGGTCGTACCTCAGATCCCAGTGCGCGAGACTGTTGCAATAAAGTTGGCAATTCTTGAGTAATCGATAGAATCGATCGTATGTCCACTCATGGCTTAGAAATATCGTAGCATACCTATAAAATCCACCGGATATGTAACTCAAGAAAGCGTGCAGAACATTGTCCACATCCTAAGCACGTGTCAGCAAATGGACGGTCAAGATTGAGTATTTCAAATCTGAAGGAGATGGAATTCATTGATGTATATAATACTGCTACAGTCCAAAGAGGAGCTACATTACTCTGTGATAGTATGTGTATCGAGTAAGAATCAATATTAATTGCCTCTCCCAAACGAGAAACCGCGCTGCCCAGCTTGCTGGAAAAAGTGCGCAAATGGATGCTCTCCGCCGCTGCCGCCGCCACCGAACGGACTCGCGAATCCGGTGAATGGAGTGCCTCCTTGAGAGCTAGGATCATTTGGGTCATCCCCGTTGTCGAAGCGTTGACGTAGTTCTACACGATGAGATGAGCAAGATACGCAAATACGTTGGTTATACATGTTCTTGCCTGGATTAGTCAGCACCTCGTATGCCTCATTTACTTCTGCCATTTTCGTCTCTGAGCCTCCCTTGTCAGGATGTGCTGTCATAGCTGCTTTGCGGCTGGGAAAGTCATTGACAAGAGACCCGAGAGAGAACGCAAGTCTTACAAGGCTTTCTTGATAGTTTTCGCATCTGCGTCCCTAGAGACGCCGAGAACCTTGTAGTAATCTTTCTGCTTGGATTGCTTTAGTAGTCGTTGGGCTTTCTGTAAGCGCGCTAGCACCTGTTGAACGGCAATTCAGAGTTTTGAACATTTATAAACAGAGGGGCAACTTACGTCTCTGTCGCTGCGACCACTGCTCTCAAACGCCCGTTCAAAAGAGCGCACTGCGTCTTCCCACTCTTCACGAATCAGCATTGCCTCGCCCTTCACCACCCACGCGTCGACTTCCACATTGGTATCACCGCCCATATCATTCAGGGCTCGGAAGGTATCTTCAGTCATCGCAAGCAGAGCATCACACCAAGGTTCACCCTTCCTTGCGTTGTTCATCCTCAAATAAGCACGGCATGCTCCACGAAGGATAAGAGCGCGACGCGGACTTGAAGAAAGAACAGTAGGTAGTGGGAGCTTGGATGAAGGTGGTGACAGCATCTCTGGATCCCCATTCGCAAGCAGCGCATCCTCGAAAGTACGGGCAAAGCCATTGCCAGGAAAGTCTTTCACAGTGCCAACAACATGCTTTAAAACACCTTTCCAATCACTGGCCTCTAAAAGCTTCTCCAATTTCGCAAAACCCTTGTCGAGAGATTTCGCAAGTCTATGGGCTGGTAAACACGAAGATGAGTCGGGGTCCAGATGAAGACATTGTTTGAGAGGCGAAAGATGCGAGGACGATTGTGAAGGTGGAAGCAGGAAGTAAGAGAGGCGGAAGATTCGGATAAGAGACAGAGTGGTAGGGTGGGATAAATACGACAGTCGACTGAGTTCTTGTAAGTACGTGTATGCGTATGGATAACAAGAACTCACGTCAGGTCGAGCACGGCTCCTTGCACGTCGCCACTAGCTAAATTACAATCTGCTCTTGTCTGCCTGAGCTCAGAACTATGACTGGCCACCCTTAGGGCCTGCGTTGCAGCTTCTGAGCAAACAGTCCATAGCTGGGCACGTCTTGCTTTAACAGCCTTAGAGGCTGCTGCCTCGGCCTCCTTGATGTCACTTAGCATGTCGTTCGCAGCTTGATCACCAGTAACCTTCATGTTATACGTTGCAAGTAACTCCTTGGCACGAGCCCAGTCTCCTTCCTTGGTATGGATCTTCGCCATCATCATAATGGCACGATCGAATTCTCCGCCAGTCAATTCCATAACCTTGGTGAAGTCATCGAGCGCGCTCGCATGACGGCTTAACGAGAAGTAAGCTGTAGCTCGCTTGTAGAACAGTAAGTAATCTGCAGGGGAGAGTGAGATGGCGTCTGTGTATGTTTTCGCTGCATCGTTAAATTGTCCAGCGGAAAGCAGGGCGTCACCGCGGACTATGAGAGGATGGAGCCCTGGAGGAGTGAGCCCAGATGACGAGGTGTCTGATAAAACGGGTTTAGCGAGCAACAATAGTAGCCCAGCAAAACAATGCAGTCGCATAACGAGACGATGATTACTTGAGTCAGTGAAGGCTTGACTCTTGATTGAATTCTTCAACTTCGACCACGTCCGCTATCCCACGTACAGCCATCACGTGAACGTCACGTGCTGAGCGCGAGTAGGTTCTTTCAATTTTAAAATTCAATGTCATACATAGTAGCGATCGATACGCAACATCGCAAAGCAATTCCTTGAGACAACTTGAACATGACTCTGAGTGCCACTGCTACGTGTTGATCATGCGTGAGAAAACAAAGTCATGTGACTCATGTTGCAAGATTGCTGGTGTTACAAGTCTAGGAGTAGAGCTACAAGCCAAATTTATAGAGGAGAATGCCGACAACAAGCTCATGGCAAACACGTTCATGAGTAAGGCAGCAGCTTAGTAGTGTTGTTAGCAGAACTTGGGAGTTTGGCCAACTGGTCTGCAAAACTGGTTGTGCCTGGCCCACGGTAGAACTCACGCGAAAGGAGAACCTAACGTCTTCAGTTTTCTTGCTGCATGGGACATATCAATAATCAGTTAGGCCAGATGATTTATTCATGTAGAATTTGGCTCCCTTGTATTACTTTGATAATACAACCCTGTGACATGCGAGTTGGGGACAGGCGCCTGCACTGCTACAAATGGCTTCTATTACAATATAGATTCAATGTGAACGTCAAGGAGCTCTGGTGACAGTATGTGGCGTATATCTTGGTCAAGCCACCTCTCAAATACGATGGCATCTGTCAGGGGATGAGATACATGGTCTTTAGCTGTGGGGCCTTCATCTGAGCCAGAGTCAGGGTCGTCCAAGTAGAAGAAGCCGACAGGACAAAGGCAAGATCGTGCAACTCTCCAGTTACGTGTGTGCGATGGTGAGGCCTTAATGTGACGATCCGACATTAAGAAGTCATTCTTTTCCTTCCTGCACTGAATAGCATCCACTCTCAGCCATTCATCAAGCAGCCTGCCCTGGCGCAGCAGCTTGCCCTCTTGATAACGAAGACAGATCCAGGTCAGGACCCATATGAATGATTCAGCGTCGTGCTGATACATGTGCTTCACCTTGCCTTCAATGCCTTCCTTTGTGAGCAGGTCAAGGGCCATGAAAGGCACTGTCCCTGTACGCTCCTGGCCTGAGGGAGTGTTGCGAGTCATTGAGAACGCCAATATAGTGACCATTTAATGTCTTGTAGACCATGAGATTGCTAGGGCTAACATCGCGGTGATGGACATTTTCCCCCCAGAGGGCATAGTGACCTGGTGCTGCAGGTATCAGTGACCAATAAAAGGCGCAATGAGGGACACATACAGACGATGATGTGCCACCATGCGGCGAGGAACTCCTTGTCGCTCAGGTCCGTGATAGGGTCAAGCTCTCTGAATACGATAATGTACAGGACGCGCCTGCCTCGTTCAGCATCCTTAAGTCCTAACGCCCTCCTGATCTTCGCCGTGAATGTATCCTCAAACTTGTGGGACCAGACCATCTCTGGGACGTGATACTTCACCTTGCTGTCATATCCCGTATTCCGGACCTACGTCCGATGATGTTCCCACGCCTTCCGGATGCACATCCAGACCTCCATACCCTTATCCATGACTCCATACCCTTATCCATGCCTTCAGTCCTCCAGTCCACTATTGGTTTGGATCCGTACACCTTCGTACATCCATATATCCATACCTTCAGACCTCCACAGCTAAGCCTGCTTCATCCACCCTTAGTCCTATCAGATCCGAGCTCATTCCATCTCAGACTCTACCTTCCCTAGACTATTGGTCTATATCCATGATCCATATCCTAGTCTCGTCTTCGCCTAGATCTCTGGATCCGCTCATCCGATATCCAGACGCTTCATCCGATACCTCTAGACCTCCGGATCCAACCTATACTCATATCCGAAGCCCTAACCTTAAATCAGTGTCTATCTCCTTATGGTAATCCCCTTGACTCTGGACTTCGGTTATCTCTGTTTCTGTCTTGCTTATTGATCCTTGTACTCTGTTCATCTCCGAGTTCATTTACTTAAGTTCCATTCATACTTACCAATATGTTTCCACATGCTCGTACATAGCATTTGTGTTCAGCTTACTGATCCTCTCAGATCCCTTCCATGTACAACTCCTGTAAAGTTTCCTTAGTTCGAATATCATCTTAGACTTTGCTCTGTCTCATCTTAGACTTCACTCATTCTTGTCTTGGACTTCCATCCATCTGAGTTCTGCCTTTCCATCAAGGCCTAGGGATGGATTCCCTAGGCCGGAAATCCGGACCTTCGGATTTGTCCCCTATGTCTCTGTTCTGAAGTCTAGGGATTGATTCCCTAGACTGAAGTTTTGCCTTTCCAACACTTCCTGTCTTTCCGAGACTTCTGTCTAAACCCCATCTATCCGACTCTACCATAGTGTAGTCTACCTCTGTTTGTTTCTACTCCAGATCTTGTCTGTAGTAGCCTTTCCCCTCCTGTCCTAATCCTGTCCGCTCCTCTGGTCCTCATAAACCTTCAGACCTTCGGACATTGTAACCTTCGGACATCATAACCTTCGGACGATGCAACCTTCGGATGACGTACCCTTCGGACGTCTTAACCTTCAAACCTCCGGATGTCCTGTCCTTTGGACCACTCCTCCTATCCTATCATGCTTTGGACTCTGTCCCTTGCAGCTTATCCTCTATGTGTTTCTATCTAGGGAACTTACCTTGGGAAGTCTTACCTTTGGATCTAATACAGTGGATGAAACTCCTCTGGAAGTTTCTCGCACTCATCCGGATGTCCTCTAGCACTCTACTAGAGTAGCCAGCCTCCGGAAGTCCTTTGGACTTCGTCGGATTCCATCCGGACTTCATTCTGAAATTAAGGGCACGTACTCGGGTAAGGGGCACAGCGCATGAGCTGAGGTCAAGCCCTTCGGATCCGTCTACCCTTGAGCTACGGTCTTAACACTTGCCCTCCTCGTCCCTCTTCGCAATCTCATACACCTTTCGGAGTATTTCAACCTCGCTCTCACGCTCTTCTTCTGGCCAATAGAGCTTCACAACCAGCTTGTCGGTAGCATTATGAGGATTATGATGAGGAAGACTTGGCACCAGAGCTGACAGCTTCTTGCTTTTAACTGGAAATATGGTGGTCGCACATCTGCGCAGACTGAAGTGAGTGGTACACTTGTCAGACTTCAAATCGAATTCAAGGTCGACCTCTCCAATGTCCTCATCTGGGACCCGAACCTCACTCGAAGATCCATCCTTAGGCTCGAATACCGGATTGTGGCCCCATTCCCCGAATGGCATTCGCTGGATAGCAAGCAGCAAAACCATGAACCGTGGAAGGTCTTGCACAAAGTTGATGCCGGAGCATTGAATCGCGTCCTGCCAATCAAAATACAACATGTAAATCATGTCGTCTGGTACGAGCGATCAATTTCACAAGATATCTGCAGCACTTCATTGACTTACCATCCACCACATAGGTAATGACGTTCTCCCGCATGATATGGGCTGCAAACAACTCCGCAGCGTACAAACCATTCTGGACAATGGGATGAATGTCTTGTGGGTCTTTGGGCGGCTTGGGAGGTTCCTCCCCATTATTATTGACTTTAAGTTTCTTGCTGCTGTGACCGTCGAGTGCTTGACTAGAGCTGCACTTCTTCTTGTTCAGTGACCCAGACCGTTTTGAACGTCCACCTGCATCCCATATGTCAGCAAGAACCGTCAGTTGTGCACGTTAACAGGATGGCTTACGCACAGCTGATGTCTGGCACGAGCTCGTAGCAGCGCCGCTGCCAGGCAAAGGAGTCAAGCCCGTTGGCTCAGTGGTGTCGTTTGTTTTCCTATGATACTTCATATACTTCTTCGCTTCAGGGACATCGTAAGCCTTCGCTGCATAAGTCGCAGGTGGCTTTGAAAGACCGGTCCGAATCTTGTTGTGTTTGAATTCTACCGTCGATCAAATGTCCGTCCATTGGAATTGTTTGGCGGGCTTCTCCCACGCCTCCTCGTCCTTGTGGGCTTGACCTGCCTGCTTCTGCACCTTCTTAGCACCTGTGCGGGAGACGATGATGACATCAGGTCTGTGTGTGGACTTCTCTCCTTGGTGCTTTTGGGTTATGTTCTTTGGATCATTTTGATGAAACAGGATCTTGTGATTGTCGTGCGTCTTCAAACAAACCAATCCAGGCATGTTCAGTTTGCTCAATCGGTCAAGCGCAAGGTTCGAAGCCTGGATAAAAGGCTTGTACATCTGATCTTCTACTCTGCTCTTCAGACTACTTTACAGTGGCGTCAATCTATTGATCACCTTTCCACAAGACTTGAAGTTCTGACTTACATATCATCCAGATTGTCATATACCATATTCCCGGGTACAGATCCGAAGATCCGGATCTCAGATCCAATCCAGATCCGATGGACATATCCATCATCCGGTCCACAGATCCAATCTGATCCTTATTTCATGTCCTGTTCATATAACTCTAACTATCGTTCATCTCCTTTCGGCATTCCTGTACACCAGTATACCGGTTATCCTTTACTTCCATTATGCTTACTGATCCGCTACACTTACTGATCCGCTTTAGCTTATACTTCATTCCTGGTTATGATTTGTTATCCATCCGACTTACCGATATGCTGTACACATACTTTGCTTATACTTCGTACATAGCCTCGCACCCTTGCTTATTGATCATTCCGTTAGTTATCTGTAGTATATAAACCCTTGTACATGCGCTGTAGTAGATCAGTTCGAATATCATCTTAGATTGCACTCATTCTGTCTGGACTCTAAGTCCCTCCGTTATCCATCTGGACTCGAGTACGATACTCTTGTCAACTCCGAGACTTAGGATTGATTCCTATAGTCTGTTTATCCGCCTCTGTCTTCGGACAGTCCTCACCTGTTAGTTTCTAGTTCGGATCCGATCCGGATTAACTGTTACTATATACGTTTGATATCCGGAAGCCCTAATGGATCTGTTACGAGACTTATCCGTCTCCATAGACGCGATACTCTAACACTCTGAAATAAGGGGCAAGACTCGGGAAAGGGGCACAGCGCATGAGCTGAGGCTGAAGCCCTTCAGATCTGATACTACTTGAGTACAGTCTTAACACAGATTCCTCTTGATGGCCTTAGCATCTTTGCCCTTGTTGCAGATCGGCAGGACGGCTTTGAGGCAATCGGCGAGTAGCGTCAGCTTGTCAGGTGCCGGTTTTGAGCGGTCTAGCATGCAGCGGCAAAGCAGCTCCTGCAGCATTTCGTCGACAGGGCATTCCCTGTAGTTCTCGACGTCACACCCAATCCATGGACGAATGTCATTGACACTGGGTGAACAACAAGGTTGAATATGGATAAATAATAGTGGCCGCAACGAAAAGAAAATTCGACGTACTTGACACCTACAGTACTGATATGTTCGCTGACGGAGGCAGAGCCAACTGCAAGCGGGGTGGATTTGAGCTCGGACCCAGAATTCACTGGCACGCCGTGAGGAGGCTTCTTTGGCGCAGTGGCGCTAGCAGTACGACTAGTAGCGTTGGCCATGATGAAGAGTCTCGGTTACTAAGAAGGAAAAGTGAACTGAAATGACAAGAAACTGCAGACTCAGAAGCTCGCTTTTAAGCTAGAACAATACTATTGTTTATACATTTCAAGGCCACAATCGATGCTTGGAATGTCAATGGAGATAGTAGGTGAGCCACAAATGATCGAGCGCCGAACGCCGGGCCACAGTCACAGTTTGAAAGTCAATCATCATGATGATCAACTACCAATCATCAATTTTTTCGACGTTGCCCACAAGCGCCCACCTTTGTTCACCTTGATTCTTACTCCATCGAGCATAATCAAGACGTGGTTCTGTTGTCCGACGCGCAATACCAGTTGTGACATGGTCTAGACTTCTCCAGATTCCATCAGGACCACATCAGGTCATCACGCTGTAGAGACTCACGTTTCTCCAGGCTCATATGGGCCAAATTCACGCCTTTTCATGATGCACTCGATATCCTTGCAACGCACTTCTCATATGACTTCCGCGCAACATGCACTTTGGTGCGTACCAGCGCGTTCGAGTGCGTTCGAGTGCGTTACGGTGCACTTCGTCGCATTTCCTTAGGATCCGTCGCCTGTCTTCCGCATGTCCTGTCCTAGTCCTCCAAGGTCCATTGGTGCGTTTTCCCTTCTTCAGAACTCATACTCCGTCACGCAGGCACTAGTACTTATCATCATATCTCGTTATGGACCCTGTCTTACCTCACCATTTACTTTAGTACTTCCTATTCAGCTCTGAGCCGTGGGAACTCGCTTAGCATACCTACACGTCACCATGTTTGTTTTCCTGACACTTACTTCCGCTCCACTACCATCGAAGTGTATAGCTCAAGTTTCTATCAGAATACACTGGTTTCCTTCCTATTGGCGCTTTGACACCTTAAGTGTCTACTTCCACGTCTATCAAAGTCTTGATTCCCCCATTTATTGCCACCTCTACTCAAAGCACTCCATTGTGATCGCATGAAGTGCGCTTTTCCGCACTTTCCGCCTTATTAGCACGTTTAGGCGCCTTTAGCTAGCGCACTTCGCTTTTGGGTGCATTATTTGCCTCAGAGTCCCATTCAGGCTTCGAGACCGAACCGCTGGTTATAGATCCCCCTCACCTTTCACTAGAGGAATCTTTCTCAGTAGCAATCCCCTTGGGATGACTTTCCACTCGTATCCAGAGGAGCACTTGAGAGCCCACTTCCCACTCTTCCCCCTAGCACGCAGCTATCATTCCTCGCCCTCAATGCATCTGTCAGGCGTTGGCATCGCTCACCATTGCCCGCCATGATTCTTTTCTCCATTGAGCATAATCGCCATCTTCTTTTTCCCTTCAGTGCATAGAACCAACTGTGAACTAGGACAACAGAAGGAAATCTGAAGATCTTTAGCATCACTACTGGCATGATGCCATCATGCATCAAGCCTCGACTCACCCACCCTCACTGTCATGATCCCTCCAGCGTTGAGCGTGGGTGAGTCAACACTCAATATGATTCATATGACTCTTCTTACTACTATGATTGCTCTGCCCAGGACTCCGATTATCGCTGTTGTTCGGTTTTGACATGTGCTATCGCCCAATCAATATCCACAACTTATCAGGAAGAACAACTGCTAATTTATTTTTTCCACTCCACACTCCACAAACGAACGGAAGAATTACGCGCAAGAATTCTATTGTGCTGCCCCTCAGTCTCCTACACAAACACAATGACACAGCCTGTTTGCATTGGTGATCGCCCCAGTCAAATGTTGATTAAGACTAGCTAGCTGTCATGGTCGCACCACGCAATATAACAGTATGCGTGTCCTCAACTCAGATGTGCTGCGTTGGCTCAGGTATGTCATGTCACATAACGAACGATATGGATGGTAATATAGCCATGGCTGGCAGATCGATGAGTCACCGAGTCTCACTTGTATTGATTTGTTCATGCCAGTCATGCGTTGACGAGCTAGCCATAAGTAGACCAACCAGACTGACCCCCTCAAGGATGAGATTACATTAATGACTTCGTCGTGTGGACATGCTATTGGCGTACATAGATTACTTATTCTGTCATTCTTGTGCTTCTCGGAACTCTATAGCGATTCACCTCCATCACTCAGCCACCGCATCATTCCATATCATATTAGTAGTGTCTCGTACTCGTATGTTCTTTCCTCAGCATCTGTTCCCACTCGCTGAGGTACGGCTATTCTTGCACTTCATACCTAGAGTCATACTAACTTCAAGTTAGTCTAGACTTACTCGTCTTCACATGCCCCTTCAGTTCGTGCAACACAGCACTGTTTCAACGTGGGTCTTCAAACTATTCTTACTTGCGCGTTGTTTGAATTATTTCAGGGCGTGAATTATCTTATCTTTGGTGTGCCAGCGTGATTAGAACATATCCTTGTAAGTAGTACTACGTCGCCTGCTCTAATGGGTGGCTATTCTGTGGATGCTCATGACCAGTGATGACCACATCGGCCCCGTATGAACAATACTGGAAGCATCGATATCCGATATTATTCATGCAGGGGTCCAGAGCGCAGACCAAACAGAGAAAAAGACATTCCATCTTTGTTATATTGGATGCAGTGACCCCATAACCTGATGACGACTGAGCTTCTTTATTATCATATGTAGGGGACAAGAGACTGCTGAGCAATTTTCTTCAGTTTGATATGTTTACACGGTCGAGGTTCAGAATCGGACTCGGGGGACCTCGAAGATCACACTGCAGCTGATATCGTCTTCTCCGGTCCAAGAACTTATCTGTGAACAATTATGTAAGAGAGACGAGCGCTATCTAAGTCACTGAGCGCCTCATACAACTCGCACAAACACATAACAAATAGACATACACAACCCCTGTCTTTGACTGACTCACTGAGCGTCTGATAAGATATCCAAGTACAACCTTCCCTCCGTGAGATCAGCAATGCCAGAAACCACCGTCATCTATACACACGGACACCATGAATCCGTCCTGCGCTCCCACAGCTGGCGCACCGCCCAAAACTCCGCATCCTACCTCCTCCCATACATCAAACTAAACATGCACATCCTCGACATAGGTTGCGGACCAGGCACCATCACCCTCGATTTCGCTACCCTCGTCGGGCCCGCAGGACACATTACAGGCATAGAGCCTTCCCCCGGAGACGTCCTCTCCCAAGCTCGCGAAACAGCCGCATCGCGTGGGATCACGAACGTAGATTTCAAAACCGGAGATATCTTTGAACTAGAAGAGATGTTTGAAAGCCGTAAATTTGATATCGTGCATGTGCATCAGGTGTTGCAACATATCGATCGGGAGAGGGTATCGGAGGCTTTGATGCAGATGAGGGCTGTTACGAAGCCTGGGGGGATCGTTGCTGTTAGAGAGACGGACTTTGCTGCGATGACTTGGTTCCCTGTTTCTGGTGGGATGACGGAGTGGGTGGATACGTATCAGCTTGTGGCGCGTGCAAATGGGGGAGAACCTAATGCGGGAAGGAGGTTGGTGAGTTGGGCGCTTGGGGCAGGGTTCGCGAGAGATAAGATCACGACTTCGGCGGGGGCGTGGTGTTTTAGTACACCTGAAGAGCGAGAGTGGTGGAGTAGGATGTGGGCTGATCGAACGCTATCGTCGAATTTTAAGACGACGGCGCTTAAGAGTGGGCTCGCAGATGAGGAGAAGTTGAATAGAATTGCAGATACATGGACGGAATGGGGTAAAACAGAGGATGGCTGGTTCGCTATCCTAAACGGCGAAATCATCTGTCGCGTAGACTGATGGCAGGCAGGATATACATGGATTCGATTATTATTATCAGAAATATCGAGAAATGCGATGCAAAAAAAGATGCAGCAGATAAATGACAAGGGTCCACATACAAGAGAAATAGTAAGCGTAAGAAAGTGATCGCAAGAACCAGGATGGATAAAAGATACAAACCACTTGGCCCGCGCCTGCACGAACTCTCAGTCTTGATCGTCCCCATCGAGTTTGACGATTTCTAGATAACTTTCCGGTACGAGGGCATGCGAACCAGTGTCCTCTCTCACAACTACGGCCCAACCAACTCCACCGCCCCGTCCGACGACACGGACGATCTGGTCTTCATCAAGCTTCATCTCCGCAGTTCCTTCTGGCTCGAAGGAATACAGTGCACGGTAAAGGCCAGGGTGTAACATGGGCTCTCCCTCCATCTCCTCATCATCGTCTTGGTTCTGAGGGAATTCATCCGGTTCCTCGTACACCTCACTCTCATCATCCCCACTACCGTCGCCAAAGTTACGGGCAAAGTCCGTTCTCGAAGGAAAGTCCTCTGAAGAGGAGGAACCCGAGCCAAGGCCCCAACCAGACTGCAATTTCTGAAACCCCCACTTGAAACCTCCCCAACCATTGTTATCATTCTCATCCTCCCACTGCTCGTCTTCCTCTTCCGTCGACGACGTGGAAGTCAAAGAGGACGTCGACGAGGACGACCCGCGTAAGCGGCGGGCAAGGACTTTGGGACGATTTGAACGAGGTACATTCGGCCCTTCACCTGAGAACCGCGGATCTGAAGGCGCAAACGCATAGTCGCGGATTTTAATAAGGACTTTGGTTTCGGTGGGTGCTGATTCTGGTTCTTTGCCTTTACTCTCTGATACTGCTGACATGCCGAGGATATCTTTGGTACGACGTCCACTGGGTGTGCGAGAGAGAACTGCGCCGGGGGAGAGTGCGCCGGATACAGGACGTTGCGAGCGAGAATTGGCATCTGAGACTGGGCGAGAGCGGGATTTTGAGGAAGTACGGGATAGACCTGATGCACGACGGGATATTGCTGGTGAGGGTGGGGCGGGGCGGGAGGAAGTAAGAGAAGTGACGGATTGGGTGCTAAGGCGGTGGCTGTGGTCTTCCGCATCGTGGGAGTCGAGTAGTCGATGAGGAGAAGGATCTAGAAAAGATGTATTTGGGGATTCTTTTGTTGGAGTTGATTCCTGGAAGGAGAGTAGGTGGAAGAGAGAGCGAGGAACGTTCAGCATGGAAATGATAAAGCGTGGAAGGAAGGAGCGGAAGAAAGCCAGAGACGCTCGTTGGGGACTTACCGCGCCGTTTGGTGTGGCCTGACCGCCATTGAGGCCATTGGCAGCGGTAGTAAGGTCTTCAAAATCTTTCTTTGATTGTTTCCTATTACCTGGACGAGCGAATTCATGTGGTCCAGGTGTTGGAGGTGGAATAAACGAAGAACCTGGTGATGGAAATGGGGGTGAAGAACGTAGAGCAGGTTGATCTAAAACAATTATTTAGCATTGTCGTTGTCGTCGTCGTCTTTGTCTTCAATAACGACCTTGAAACACACCTTTTTGCATACTAGTCATCTGGATGGTCGTGGTTTAGTCGTGGCAGTATATAAGTACTCGTCAAACTTCGTCTGCCCTTTCCTTTCAGACAAAGGACCGGCTTTGTCTGAATGACTATATGCCTGCTCGAAAGAAAGACAAAAATACAAAAAGAAAGAAAGAAAGTCAAAATGACTTTTCGAAAGAGAACTCTCCAGTTCAAATGGATCACCGTTGCACGCACTCATTCGTCTCCTTGACAACCAGAAGTAACTTATTTGTCCATATTTACTACGACCGCCATCCAACCGTACTACCAGCACACCGACTCAAAGATGCCCGACGCTCAATTCCAGCAGCTCGCTTCAACTCAGTCGACACTGTGCTCCTACTAGGATCATTCTTCATATGAGGCGTAGGTGATCCGCTATCATTCCGACGATGAATCCGGAACTGCATCATCGTAGTGTTGGGAAGCGCCCGTGCTAAGAATGACACAGGCGAGAGCGACCTAGAGTGGTGCGGGCACGGGAAAAACACGTCATGTCTCTTCTTGGGCCGTACAACCGCTTTCGACAGGACTTGGCTGGATTTCTCTTCGCCAGATGAGGATTCGGATAATCTAAACCCATCGCTGAGTCTTCCGAGCCCGTCGAATACTCCGCCTCCCCCTTTCTCTAGGCCTTCGAAACCGAGACCCACCAGTCCTGATCGACCACCAGAAAAGACGTTGGGTGTACCGAGCGTAACGGAATCGTCTGAGCTGCTGCTGCTACTGAGTGGAGGTAGGGGTGGGGTGGTCGTAGGTGTGTTGTTCGGAACGGCGAAGAATGATGTAGACTCGCTATATGGTGGAGGAGGAAGGAAGACGTGGACGTCGGGTCTGGGCGCTTTGGGAATGCGTCTGTAATGAGGTTTAGGAAGCAAAGGTATGTTTGACTTGGATGTGTGCAGGCGAGGTGTATCTTTCGTCCCTGGCATACGCGCTTTTCCAGCTGACAGGATGTCTTGTTCGATAAGAGGGGCTTTTGGTGGAGCCAAGAGGGAGCTCGAGGTGGAGCTAGAGCGGTTATGGGTGTGCATGGTTGATGGGTAGTGAAACTGGGGTAGAAGGAGAATGGTGACGAATGCTTTAAGTGCGGCAATAGAAGGTCGAGGGGAGAACATATGATGCAGAATCCAGAAGATGTTGGGTCAAGAACAGACGCCCAGGTCTTTTGTATTGCCACGAATACATGGCTGACGGGATGGGCTGACCAGCCAAAAACAATGCAAGGCTGACATGGTCGGTGGTCCAGACTCTTGGGGCCGACTAGGAAGCGTGTTTAGATCACGTGAGCAAAATCAATAATGTCGAACAGCCTCTTGGCAAGGTGAACCGTTTCGATTATTCCAGAGGTTCGACAATTTCTGCACTGGTCGTGCTGGTCATGATCCGTCTGCAAGCAACGTACAATAATAGCCTAACTCGTTCTAAAGCACGAACACAACTGCTAACGGACGTCGCGTGCCCGTCATACACACTAACAGCGAATAAAACTCTGCAACTAGGTTATTATGCAGAACAAGCAGCTTGGTTCGAAACTCGAGACAGCTAGGTTGCTTGTGCTCGTTACGAGATTCGAATTGATCAAGGAGAATTCCATAACGAAGACATGCGAACATCGCAAAGGCATAATACTGAATATCGTGCGTTATCTGTATCATATACATATTAGCCAGATTAGTAAGTAGCTTCATGAAATTTCAAATGCATAGAGAAATTTACAAGTAAAAGGCAGCCTTGCTCACTGTATAACTCGTCCAACTGGCAGTCGTGACAGCGCGAGTGCAAGGGCATTTGAAGCTCTGCCGGCTGAAACAGTACTTGGGATGAATCTATTGCACGTTCGATAGTAGATTCATCCCGAGTGTCTATCTAATAGACACTCGTGAAGAAGTACTATTGTACGTCGCACTCCCATCTTGAACAGTGCACAAAAGCTCCGCGATGCGACCATTATCATGATGCAAAATCAGGTCCTCGACGAAAACCTTCGAAGATAGCGTGTTCTGAGACGAAGGATAGGCGGTCTGTGGTCGTTGTGAAACCTGATTTTCTAGATATGAAAGAATCCAGGGACAAAACGACACAGTCAAGCGCAGCTTAGCTGTCCTTCGCAGGTTTTCGAGTCCTAACTCGGAGACACTGGGGAAGAACGGTTAAGCTGAGATAAATTTACTAGGCAGCCGATGCTCGTTGGGGGTTTACCGGTGATCGGGTATGAACATTCCACACTTGCGTCCCTCCTAGAGTTAACACTCTAGGCACAGCCCATCCAGTCGCACCACGCATCAGACGAAGCCGGATGACAGTACTAATTTTTAGGCTCCGATCGAAATACTCGTTCATAATGAATCGTAAAAATTTCTAGTCGATTTGGCTAAAATGCCCGCCCCATCGAAAGCAACCGTCCTCTCTTCCTCAGACGCTGTCGCCCATCTAGCATCTTACCAATGCTTAGATGGCCTCTCCGTCAATGATCTCATGGACTCCCGCGTTCATGGAGGTCTCACTTATAACGACTTCCTCATGCTTCCCGGAAAGATCGATTTCCCTGCTTCTGATGTGATCACCGATATCAGAATCACTCGTAATGTCGTTCTTAAAACTCCATTTATGAGTAGTCCTATGGATACCGTCACCGAGACCGATATGGCCATCAGTCTTGCCCTGCTGGGTGGTATTGGTGTCATTCATCATAACCAGTCCCCCGAATCTCAAGCGGCTATGGTCCGAGCCGTAAAAAGGCATGAGAATGGTTTCATCGCGGATCCTGTCGTCTTCTCTCCGAATCACACGGTTGCAGATGTCCTTGACATCAAGGCACGTCTTGGTTTCTGTGGTATTCCTATCACAGGTGCGTTATACGTCCCACCTACGTCTCCTTGATGAACACCTTTACCAATAACCTTCGTTCTTCCGAGTAACGGGTGTCACCTGTGATCTGCGGATATCATTTCTATTTTGGCCATCTGATCTTCCATTTTACCCATCGTGCTCGTGTGATCAAAAAACTTATCCCTATTCTTTAGAAACCGGATGCCTGGGAGCTAAGCTTGTCGGTGTCGTCACCTCACGCGACGTGCAATTTGAGTCGCCCGAGACACTCCTTGGCGAGTTCATGACTACGTCTCTTGTCACCGCTCCCCAGGGCGTCACGCTCGCAGAGGCCAACCAGATCCTCCGATCCTCCAAAAAGGGTAAACTTCCAATCGTCGATAACCAAGGTCGTCTCACCTCTCTCCTCGCTCGCTCTGACCTCCTCAAAAACCAAAACTACCCACTTGCTAGCAAGAATCCCAACAGCAAGCAGTTATATGCTGCAGCTGCAGTCGGCACGCGACCCAGCGACAGAGAGCGCCTCAAGCTTCTCGTCGAGGCTGGTCTCGATATCGTCGTACTTGACTCGTCACAGGGCAACTCCGTCTTCCAGATCGACATGATTCAGTGGATCAAGCAGACGTTCCCCAAGCTCGAGGTCATCGCAGGCAACGTCGTCACGCGTGAGCAAGCTGCCAACCTCATCGCCGCTGGGGCAGATGCTCTTCGCGTCGGCATGGGTAGCGGCTCCATTTGTATCACACAGGAGGTCATGGCTGTTGGCCGCCCACAAGCCACAGCTGTGTTTGCCGTTGCTGAGTTTGCATCCAAGTTCGGTATCCCAGTGATAGCAGATGGTGGTATCAGCAATGTCGGTCACATTGTCAAGGCACTTTCTCTTGGTGCAAGTGCTGTGATGATGGGAGGGCTTCTTGCAGGCACTGCAGAAGCTCCGGGAGAGTACTTCTACCACGATGGGAAGCGTGTGAAGTCCTACCGAGGCATGGGTAGTCTTGAGGCTATGGAGCAGGGTAGACCTGGCGCGTCTGATCAGGCCAATGGCAAGCCCGGCTCTACGAAGCATGCCCCACACCTTTCGAGTAAGTCACATGAGAACGCTGCGACGACGCGCTATTTCTCCGAGTCCTCCGCTGTCAAAGTCGCTCAAGGCGTGTCGGGTGATGTCCAAGACAAGGGCAGCGTCAAGGCGTTCGTTCCATATCTACACGTCGGTGTCCAGCACAGTCTTCAGGACATTGGCGTGCGCAGCGTTTCGGAGCTACAGGCAGGCGTGAAGGAGGGTCGTGTGAGGTTCGAGATAAGGACGCCGAGTGCTCAGGTGGAGGGAGGTGTTCATGGATTGCATTCGTGAGTCGTGGTGATGACGTTCCATTCCGATGTGTCGCTGATTTTTATTTTCAGGTATACGAAGAGATTGTATGCCTAATACGACGGTTTACGCTATTACCCTGTATTATACATGTAGATTCCTGCATCGTATGCATAAAAACAAAGGAAAATTGTATGTACATCATTATTGATCAGAGGAAGTTGTGGTCATGTTTTAGCGATACTGCAAGATTAATGAATTTCCCTTCTAGCGACCCCGGATCGCTTCACGACTACATTCAGACCTTCAGTAATAAAGACAGAACGACACATAGCATGCTTGCCACTTAACCGGTGTACGTCCCGACGGCGATGGTCATCAGTCCACCACACTGTTGGTGGTTGGCGAATGCAGGATCGAAATTTTTGATAGCCTGCTTAGCATTGAAATTCACTGGCAAGTCCAATCTTACTTGACCATCTACCATGGATGGCTTGCCAGGCGGGGGCAGAGTGTTGGCACTTGGCACCATCCTGTGTACAGTGGTTCGATTACCTGTGTCACACGTAGACGCTCTGATCGCGAACCGTCATGTGAACCAGAATAACAATAAGTAATCTGACATTCCATTCCTCCCACTGGCTTGGGCAGGCGCAACTGTGACTTGGTATCGGAGCATAAACATGCCCGTTTGGAACAGCCACAGTAATCAATGATCTTGTCTCTTCCGATGGGCGTTTGGCTAACAAAAACTTGCGCCCGCTACATGTTGTAGGCCAGGCCCTAATAACTAGTGTCTTCTGACGGTTCGATCAAGCTGTGTATGCGATGCGCCGCCCTGTCAGGATAAAGCAGTCGTCATCTCTGTATACAGTAAGCAGGGCGTCTACAAGTACAGCATGAGAAATTGAATATTTAGCAGGTCTCTCTATTACCACCATCAAAGCACCCCCATCGACCCTCCCATCGTCTAGCGGCCCTTTGCACTGACTCAGCCATAAATCGCAGTCCACCCATTCAATAAAGAACAGCGGCCATTTCAAACTTTCTTAGTCGACGTCATGCTGCACGAGGATGTCGCTTCAGGAAGCCGAAGAGAGGTGGAACTAGCAGCGCTATTGGACTCGCCAGCAACTGCCGCTCCTCGTAAGAATACAAAGGATCTTCCGCCTTATGGTGAGCAGCACCGCCAGGATGCACTTTGGAAAGGTGAGCAGTAGTCGCATTGTAATTCCCACTGACCGACACAATGACAATCAGACGGGAACGAAGCGCTCCCTCCTATGTGGCAACAGTTTCAGGTGCCAGAACATAAAACGCTATATCAAGACAACAACCTGATCATGTGTTCATGGAACCGACCTCTACCAGGAGTACGATTAGGTAAGCGAAGAAAGTGCGATTAAAAGCGGGAAACTTATTGTCGAACGCAGATCATCCTGGAGATCTTGTCCCCGGATGTGAATGGCATATCTCACCATCCGGTCGGTCCTACTTCGTCAACCACAATACTCGGACTACGTCATGGAGGAAACCCGTACCAGATCACCAAGCAGGGAGCTTGACGCCGGAGTGCGTCATCGAGGGGCATTCTGAGTGCATATGGGACATTGCCTGCTTTGGCAGTAGTTGCGACATAATGAGCTCTTCGTCCGATGGTTCGATTCACCGATGGACAAGAGACGGAAAGCCGATAGGGGGGCCTTGGGTTAGTGACGGAGGAGTGGTAGGCTCCATAGGAGTATCTCCAGATGAAACCATGGTCGCCTGTGGAAGCGCAGATGGCAGAGTACGGTTGTGGAACATAAAGGAGGGGAAAATGGTAGGAAACCCGTGGAAGGGGCATAATAATGCAGTGATATGCCTTAATTGGTCTCCCGATGCCTTGGAGATAGCAACTGGATCGTACGATGGCACCATACGACGATGGAATCCAGATACGGGACGACAAATCGCACCACTGATAGAGACCACCCATGGTTGGGTATGTGCTATCAAATATTCTCCGCAAGGCGACAAATTCGCCAGTGGTGGGGCAGACAAGACAATCCGCTTGTGGTCAAAGAAGTGCGAGCTACTTGTCGAGATCAAGGGACATGGGAATACAGTGACGTCGTTGTGTTGGTCTAAGGACGGCACACGCATCTTTTCCGCGTCATCAGATTGCACCGTCCGAACATGGCAGTCGTCTGATGGGAAGGAGCTTTTTGTTCTTCGAGGCCATACAAAGGCTGTCACGTCCCTCTGCCTTTCCCCTGATGAATCTCATCTTATTAGCGCCTCAAGGGACTGCTCAGTTCGCATCTGGGACCTCAAAATCAATCAGCTAGTTGGAAATCCACTTTTGCATGACGGCGAACTCTTGGCTCTTGCCATATCCACTGATGGAAATTATGTTGTTGGCGCTCAATTGTATGCAAAGGTTTGTGTATGGAGCCTAGAGGCAGCGCTCAAGCAGCAGGGCGGTGATCAGATTGGCGTGCGTACGTACGATACTGTCACTGGCGTCTTCACTGACCAGGCGATGGATTTCATTCAGAGTCCACAGGATGGCAATGCAGACGCGAAGCCCAAGGCAAGTCACATCTCTATCTCTCCTGCATTGCATCTCACTCCGGTACTAGAGGCGCGCAGCTCCAATTAGAGATGTGCGCTAAAAATCAGTTGTGAACACGATCCTTTACTTATCTATCATCTCAGCCTAGTAACTTTGATATCCATGTTGTATCTAAGCGGCAGGCCAACAACAGAGGCATGGCAAAATATGTCAGCATAGTTACATCTCTCCTGAGCATCTGCTGGCCTGACACCGATACAGGGCAATGACTTTTTTGGCAACGTCGCAGACCACGCGCCTCGTCGCCCAGCTTCGCCCACAGGCTCGTCGCCTTCCCTTCCAAGTCGGTGGCGCAACTTGTTCGGGTTCTTGCGCTTCAGCACTCAACCTGCAGATCTGGCACCCCAACCAATACCACCTCAGCCTCGGCGTTGGTATTTAGCCCGTGATGACGTGAGTCGTTCATCGTGACTGATATTTATCCTGATATCATGTACAGAGACCAACACAAACTACTCGGGGGCAAAATTATGCTGCCAGCACGGAAGAAGCATCATGTGTGATAGGATGCTGCGGATTTTATCTTGTTCGTCGGTCCACATCGCACTAGTCATTAGGCGCTCTGTGAAGCCGCCTCCAGTTCATCTCCTTATCATTTCTATACATGCTCAAGCGAAGATGGATACGTCGTTGATACGTATGTGGCTTGCCTTGATATTCACAACACCCTTGTAGTAATGTTTCTATCTCTACCACATCAGTTGTTACGATCGTCTACAGCTTGTAAATATGTACGAGTTATGATTGCAGGTTATGGATGCAGGATTACGACAGAGCAATCGACGGAATATAAGGGTATGTCCCAATCACGCTGGTGCACTAAAGACAAGATAATTCGTAGCCTATAATGATTCAAATAACGTTGTAAGAGTAGTTTGAAAATCCATGTCGAAACAGTGAAGCGTTGCATGAACTGGTGACAATGCATGACCACACGAGGAAGCCGCCGTAGTCTCTTGTTGCGTAGCTGAGCAGGATCAATCTGGTCGGTCCACTTAGGGCTACCTCGTCGACGTATGACTGGCATGAATTAATCAAGACAGGCAAACTCGGTAACTCATCGATCTGCCAGGTTATATCCATCTGTATTGTCCATCTGTCATGAGCCAGCGCAGCGCATCTAAGTACAGGACATACATACTACTATATCATTGTGGTGCTACCTAGTATTGACTCGGGTAGTCACCAATGTGAACAAGCTATGTCATTATTCTTCAAACTACTCATTTGCGGGGGATACCGACTGGCAGTGCTTGTGCGTAATTCTTCCGTTGGTTCGTAGAGTGGGGAGTGGGTAAAAAATAGTCATGATTCTCGCTGATTGTGGTTTTTAATTGGGCGATAGTGCATGCCAAAAACGAACAATCGGAGTCCCGGGCAGACAAATCATAGTGAGAGACATACGAGTCGAATTGACTCAATCCGCATCAGATTGATCGATGGTCCACCAAATTTGCGCTACATTGGTCGACTAGATGTGAGGGAAGCGTCCACTTGCTGGACAAATCACGACGGGTGGGGACGATGCTGAAGATCTGCAGATCTGATTCTGCTGTCCCAATTCACAGTTTGGTTCCATGCACTGAAGGGAAAAACAATATCGCGATTATGCTCGATGGAGAAAAGAATCACGGCGAGCGATGGTGAGCGACGCCGACGCCTGACAGATGCGTGATGGTCTGATGCAGTGTGATGGAATCTGGAGAGGTCTGGACCATGTCACAACTGGTATTGCGCGTCGAACAACAGAACTGCGTCTCGATTATGCTCGATGGAGTAAGAATCAAGGTGAACGAAGGTGGGCGCTTGTGGGCGACGTCGAAAAAAGTTGATGGTTGGTAGTTGATCGTGATGATGGTTGACTTTCAAACCGTAACTGTGGCTCGGCGTTCGGCGCTCGATCATTTGTGGCTCACACTTACCATCTACATTGACATTCCAAGCATCGATTGTGGCCTTGAAATGTATAAACAACAGTATTGTTCTAGCTTAAAAGCGAGCTTCTGAGTCTGCAGTTTCTTGCCATTCCAGTAACTAGTTCACTTTTCTTTCCTAGTAGCCAAGGCTCCTCATCATGGCCAACGCTAGTACTGCTGGCGCCACTGCGCCAAAGACGCCCCCTCACAGCGTGCCAGTGAATTCTGGGTCCGAGCTCAAATCCACCCCGCTTGCAGTTGGCTCTGCCTCCGTCAGTGAATACATCAGTACTGTAGGCGTCAAGTACGTCCAAATATCTTTTCGCTGTGACCACTACCATAGATTCATATTGAACTTCGTCATTCACCAGCGTCAACGACATTCGTCCATGGATTGGGTGCGACGTCGAGAACTACAGGGAATGCCCCGTCGACGAAATGCTGCAGGAGCTGCTTTACTGCTGCGCAAACCACTCCGAGTCAAAACTGGTTCCTGACAAGCCTACGCTACTCGCCGATTGCCTTGAAGCTGTCCTGCCAATCTGCAACAAGGGCAAAGACGCTAAGGCCATCAAGAAGAATCTGGATGATATGTAAGTCAGAACTTCAAGTCTTGTGGAAGGTGATCAATAGATTGACGCCACTGTAAAGTCTGAAGAGCAAAGTAGAAGATCAGATGTACAAGCCTTTTATCCAGGCTTCAAACCTTGCGCTCAACTGGTTGAGCAAACTGAACGTGCCTGGATTGGCTTGGACAGGTTCATGTCATATTTATGCATTACTTGCTCTAATTGTAGGGCATCTGTGATGCATTCATCCTACAGTTCTAGTGCCCCCACATAGTAGCAACACTTACATAGTTGATGCATTAGTCCTCCCTAATGCATCACTCATCTCCCTAGTGAGCTGATGCACCACCCGTCCCACTGATGCATCACTCATCCCTCTAGTACTTAGTTGCATTATCTGATGCATAACGCTGATGCATTATCTGACGCCTCCTCGCAGGTGATGCATGCTCCCAGCACCGTCCTTGCATAGCACAGTGATGCTTTATTTGATGCATCACTCCTCGTGCTGATGCATGCTCCCAGCACCGTCCTTGCATAGCACAGTGATGCTTTATTTGATGCATCACTCCTCGTGCTGATGCACACTCCCACTGTTGTTTTGATGCATCCCCCAATATTTTCTGATGCATGCCTCCTAGTAGCTGATGCAAGCTCCCGCTGTTGTTCTGATGCATCCCCTGACGTTCTCTGATGCACGACTCCTTGTAGCTGATGCATGCTCCCGCTGTTTGTTTGATGCATCCCCCGACATTCCTAGGCGATGTGCTGATTCATCCCGCCCTTAGTACCGTGTGTCGACGATATATATAGGTAGATCTACTAGCTACTGGCTATATCCACAATACATTCCTTGGACCCATCCTGCGCATTCAGATGAGGCAGTGTCTGTTACAGTCAAGTACGCCCCTATTCATTTTCCTCTTCTCACATCATTGTATTACATCACGATCACATCTTGCTGTTGCTAGATGATCTATTCTTGTTATCTCTGACTCGTCTTATCTCTGACTCGTCTTATGACCTCATCGTACCGGCCCTAAAGTCGTTACCATTCACTATATAAACTCGTCCTGTACTATGTAGTTCTTTACTTTAATCTTACTAGGTTTTACCTGGAACTTCCTTCGCTTAAGACCTCCAATCTTAAGTCGTATTGAACTTGATTCAAGTCGAGGACACTCTCCTTGTCTTGTCTTAGAAACATCGAACTTCGGTATACGCCGAAGTCTTGAACCGACCTTGGCCGATTACTCTTATCGAGTAGCCATACGTCTGAACCATCCTAGTTCGTAACAAAAGATTAAAGTCTTCTACAAATACATCGCTATCACGCGTTGTAACTCAGAACAGAACAGAACAAACCCTGGTCATCACGACAGATAGAACTCCAGGTCCCCAGAAGCTGAAAACAAGCTGACGTCATTAACACCAATTTTTGGTGCTTTAAACTTAGGTGCTGTACCACCCCTACCACCTTTGAATCCCCCGATGTCTTCCACGAAACCCATTGAAATCAAAATCAGATCTCCCCCAGTCTTTGACGGGGATAGAGATAAATCCGAAGGATTCTTGATGTCGTGCATGTCTTACCTCGATATCAACGAGAAGATCTATGTCGATGACAAACAGAAAATCATTTTCGTAACCTCCTTCATGAACGAAGGGAACACGCGCTACTGGAAGGAAGATTTCCTCAGACAAGCGCAGGACCCCAACAACAAGACTACCGCAGGCCTCATCAAAGGATACGGTACATGGGCCGAATTCCTTACCGACTTCAAAAGCGCGTTTAGGCCGCTTACCCTTCGGGAACTGCGTTAGCCAAGCTCCGCAACCTGAAACAGGGAACCGAACTCCAAGATTATATCTCGGAATTCTTGATGCTCACGTGACGGGCAGGAATTCAAGGTGACGTCGCTAAGAAGCAATTCTTCCTAGACGGACTACACCCAGGATTGCTTGCTCGCCTTTACGGCACGGGCGACATCTCTGACGATTTCGAAGTTGTCCTCTCCACCTGTATCAACCTCGACAACTCACGCCTTCACTTGAACGCCATCAGGGCACGCCACCAACCCCAGAAGAAGAAGAACTTCGGATCCAACCGATATGTACCATCTAAAGATCCCAACGCCATGGTAATCAATCGGCTTTCTGAAGAAGAACGCGCGGAGCATTTCCGAACCGGAAAATGTTTCACCTGTCACAAGACCGGACATCTTTTCAAGAACTGTCCGGAGAAGAAGAAAGGAAAGACTCCGGTACGCCGCAAAGAAGTAGAAAGCAGCAATGAAGAAGAAGAAGAAGCAGAAGTCCATCGTCTCAACGAGGATTTTTGATATGGGAGACTGGATCAACGTCAGTATCTCTCAATGTACCCATAAGACTTGTACGAAAAGTTGGTGAACGAAAAGAACTTCGGGTTCCCCTTTCCCTCATTTTGAAAACACGTCTGAAAACCGTTGAAACCACTGCAGTTGTTGATTCCGGAGCGGCCAGGACCTTTATTTCAGAAGACTTCGTCAAAAAGCACAAGATCCGAACCCACGCCCTTAGTAAACCTTTCCGGGTTACTACCGCCGATGGAAGCTATTCCAAAAGCGGAGCTATACGCCGATACTGCGTTCTCACCGTCAAAATTGACGAACGAACCATGATAGGGAAGTTTAACGTCACACGTCTCGGCAGAAGAGACCAGATCCTCCTTGGAATCCCCTGGCTATGGGCTATGAACCCGGTTATTGACTGGACAGCCGAAACTCTCATCCTTTCCCGAACGGAAAAGAGTAATCAAGTTGAAGAAGAAGTCGACAAAGAAAGGAAGAAGAACAACCTTCCACTTCTATTTCGACAAGAACCCATAGATCGGACTTGGAAGCAATCCAAACTTAGGAAAGCACCAATTATCGAAACCCCTGTCGTTTATCCAAAAGCGACCATTGAAGAAATCGTTGACGAAGAAGCACCATCCGTTCCTCCCGCCATTGATTCACCCCCCAATCTACTCCCCATCCCCAATGAAGACGATGAGACCTTTGATACCAAGGAAGACGTCTGGACGCAAGAGAACTTTGCCGCACCAGTGCGAGAAGTCTCTATGTACGACCTAGATGATGACGAATTCCTGGTAGAATATTCCCTTGACGCATCCGAATTCCGGGTAATTTCAAACACTACCATGGATACGCCATTGACCCCAGATGGTACCAGTCGTTCTGAACAAAAACCCACGGTCAAACCCTTGCCACGGCCTATGGAATACGCGAAAGTTAGTAACAAAGCTCAGCAGTTCGCTCTAGCTGCGGGCCTAGAACAGAAGAAGAAAACTTTCGAAGAACTCGTACCCTCCTATCTCCACGACTTCACTGATATCTTCGCTAAAAACGGTCTCAATCAACTACCTCCTGAACGACCCAGTATTGACCATCGAATTGAAACGAAACCCAGATTCACCCCCAAAACGTCGAAAATCTATCCCCTCTCTATCGCCGAACGAACCGCTGTCAAAGCATTCATTGATGAAAACGTAAAGAAAGGTTCTATCTCGGAATCTAAATCGCCACAAGCCAGCGGTTTCTTCTTTGTAGGAAAGAAAAGCGGAGATCTCCGATCCTGCCAAGATTATCGGTATATCAACGATTGGACGATCAAGAATGCTTATCCCCTGCCGCTTCCCTTATCCCTTGTCGCACGGTTACATGGAGCAAAGTATTTCACCAAGATGGACGTCCGATCCGGTTATAACAACATCCGCATTCACCCTGATGACAGATGGAAAGCTGCGTTCACCACAGAATTTGGACTCTATGAGCTGAACGTCATGTTTTCGGACTTTGCAACTCCCCGGCTATGTTCCAAGCCTACATGAACCGCACGTTCCAACAGGAAATTAACGAAGGATGGCTGGTGATCTATATGGATGATATCCTCATCTTCTCAGACAACCTTGATGAACACCACACTCGTACCCGTCGTATTCTTACGAAAATTCGTGAAGAACGACTCTTCTTGAAACCGGAAAAATGTACCTTTGATGCGCAGGAAGTTGAATATCTTGGTATGATTACTCGTCCAGGATGCGTCGCCATGGACGCTGCTAAGACTGATGGAATTCGTGATTGGCCAATCCCATCCACTGTTAAAGAAACCAGATCGTTCCTTGGATTCTGTAACTTCTACCGAAACTTTATTCCTCATTATTCCGATATCGCATGACCCCTTATCGATCTGACAAAGAAAGACAATGTCTTCCTTTGGTCCGCACCGTGTCAAGAAGCATTCACAACGCTTAAGGAGTGTTTCCTAAAACAACCTGTCCTCCGTAATCCCGATCCATCTCGACAGTTCGCAGTAGCCACCGACGCATCCCTTGTTGCAACAGGTGCTGTCTTGCTACAGACCGATGAAAACGGCGTATATCATCCATGCGGATACCTCTCCCAATCCTTGAACCCCGCTGAACGAAATTATCAGATCTTTGATCGAGAACTCCTTGCCGTCATCTGCGCACTCCAAGAATGGCGCCATTATTTGGAAGGAAACCCTCATCCGGTTATCGTTTTCACTGATCATAAGAACCTCCTCTATTTCCGCACCGCGCAAAAGTTAACCTGACGCCAGGCTAGATGGCAGCTCCTTCTTTCATGTTACGATATTGAACTCCACCATGTACCAGGAACCAAGCTTGCCGCACCTGATGCCTTATCTCGACGACCTGATCATATGCCAGGTATCATTGACAATGAAGATGTGACTCTCCTCCCTGATTCCATGTTCATTCGCCTCCTCGACCAAGAGCTTATGACCACTCTTGCGAACCCCAATCCTGATGACACCGACCCCATCTTCCAAGCCGCCTCCGATGCCTTAAGCGGCCTTTGCCTTCCCCCCATGAAATCGGCTCTCTCTGACTGGACGATTAAGGATGATGTCTTATTCTACAAAGACCGTGCCTATGTTCGACCGGCCAGACGCCACTCTATTTTAGAACGAACCCATGACCACGCCACCGCGGGACATCCCGGTCGTTTTAAAACCGAGGAACTGGTTAAACGCGACTTCTAGTGGCCGTCCATGGGAACCTATATCCGTAAATACGTTGAGGGTTGCGCCCTTTGTCAGCAGATGAAATCCGATACCCATCCCACGTCCCCTCCGTTGGTTCCTATCCCTTCTTCGGTCTCCACTCCATTCTCCCAAGTCTCCGTTGACCTCATCACTGATCTCCCACCTTGTAATGGCTTTGACTCTATCATGGTCGTGGTAGACCATGGTCTTACGAAGGGGGTAATTCTCATCCCTTGTACGAAAACTATCACCTCAGAAGGTGTAGCAAAGAAATTCTTCAAATACGTCTATCGCCGCTTCGGGCTCCATGAGA